GCAATTAATTATATAAAGAATTGCTAACAATGCACTTCAGCGCGCCATCTCGAATTCAACTATTTAACTATAACTATGATTGAATCTCAATGCCTACTTTTATACCATAGAAAAAGGCTGTCTTTAGGGTTTTCCCGGCAATTATTCGAATTTTTCTTGCCGTAAAACCATCCTTGGACTTTAACGATCATTTAAACAAAAGAATTGGCCAAATTGGTCTAGGCGTTGTTGAGTTATTCGCTTTCCAACAGATTTTGCGATTCATTTTTATATTTTAGATTCAAAATTGCAGTTTCCTGTTACTTCGAGCTGTGTCATTGAGCTCTGTCGATATTTCAATATTAGATGTATTTCAATCATGCGCGAGATAAACGAGCTTAATGCTAATAAGCGACGTAAAATGATTTATTGACACATTTATCAAACTCTGTCAACTGCGTCTGAGCCTGCGCGCAATTTCGAGACAGGCGAAAGTTTACTTCGCAAACAACTGTTGCATTTTACGAAATTACATGAACATTTCAGAAAGTAGACCACCTACAATTTTTATATTAAAATGTTGAACAAGCTAACATTTTTTTGTTATCAATATTTGCTCGACCAACATTTAATTTTTATCTAATTTGATCTTATGAATAATAAATATTGAAGTGGGTTATGAGTTTAATTAAATTTTTATCACTTGCCTTCCGAACATAAAATTAAATTGAATTAGAAAGAAAAACTTTAACTTTTAGCAAGAATGATCTATTTATGATCTCGCACGATTTTCAACTTTACGCCACGATGTGCCAACTGGCGGATTATAGCATTTCGCTTGACCCAATTTTTGGGAAGCAAACATCTCGAACAATGCGCGTGCAACGCCTGCAACGGCGACAAAGAATAATGGTTATTGCATTCACCTAACATTTAACCCGTCGATAAATATAACAGAGTGAAGCGCTACCTTTACGATCAAACTTGGAGGGATTTTGTTTTATTCTGGTCAACACTTTCATATACTTTCCATTACAATGGAGCACTTATCGGAGTGCACGAAAACATTTTAAACATTTTATTTTAAAAACTTTATTTTTATTTATATGCGGTTTTCAGTCATTTATTATATTTTAATTTAAGTAATAAGATGGTAAGAATATGAATAATGTTATTTTCACGTCGTGAAATAAAATCTCTATTTTTGTATCTATTTCCAATGTATTTGAAAGTGTATTTGTCTGTTTGTAACAGATTCACGTTTAATCCACTTAACCAATTTTGATAAAATTTTGTTTAAAGCTAAATTAAATCTTATACAAGGACATAGACTCATTGTATTTGTGAAAATATTCTTTGAAATGCATAAAAAGACATAAAACTTTGTATTTGGACATAATTATAGAAAAACTAGTTTAATTTATTAAAAACTTTTTATCTTTAATTTTCATATTTTCTTTATTCATTTACAACTTTTATTTCCGTAAATTTTGACAAATTTCTAATTATTTATTCTAAAATGACAAAAATTTCAGTTAGTATTTCATTAACTTTTGAAAGCACACTAATCATAAAACTGAAATGCACTGAATGCTTGTTTGATAAATCGTTTGGCAGTTTTTGAAAGCAAATGGCTGTTTAGATTTAAAATTTACCACCAGCTGTTGATTTTCCAACGATTGCACTTATTGCTTGGACTCTTCGACGCACCGAAGAGTAAAAAATTGATGATGCTCGAGGCGCGTTCGGCATTGCTAGGCGATTTGTATAGACTTGCTAGAAGACTGCATGCCGCGAAGACTCACAGGACATTTAAAGTCCTTTTGGAAGCGCTAAAGCGTAGCAATTTTACGGCGACGTGTAAAAATCGCCGTTTTATAAATCACACCCTGGGGTGTTTGAATTCACAGGATAATAGTTTATTTATATACAGGATGATTGAGCAATAATAAAAATTACTTTTACCGCCTTAATGCCACAAAATTAATTAACAGACTACCAAAATATAAAATCGGTATTATCCTTGGAAAGATAGTTTATTTATAATGTAAAAATTACTTTGCATACTGAAAAAAAGGAACATTTTTTTGTATCTTGAGGATTTTACGAGGATTTGCATCGGAATGGTTTGAAACATTTCTGAATGAGCTTTTCTAATACATTTAACTCTATTTATACCGGCCATGAGCTTGAGCTGGCAGCAAAGCCAGCAAGGAAGCTGTATATTTATTTCGTCCTTTTTCTTTTATCCTGTCCGCACAACATACAACGTTACGCCGACGATTGTAAATCGTAAGCAAATTCACTGAAAATTGTTTTGCACACAGCGACACAAAGAATGCTGCTTATTTATGTCTCAGCTTCAAGTGAGTCCTTTCAAGGATAACATGAGATTGTTCTCATAGCACATAACAACAAAAAATAAATCTTAAATTCAAAAACAGAAAAAATAATTTTTAGCAAAATTTAAGAAACTTGTTGATAAAAAGTCACTTTCAGTTTTCTATCTTTCGTGAGCCATAAATCTACTTGAAAGTTTAGGCATTCTTCACGTACATCCTGATTGTTTCAACTTTTCGTCCTTGAACATTCAAGTGTCGTACGTTGTTGTTGAACGCACGCCTACGCAATAAACCACACAATCAACCACGCGTCAAACTTTCCTCATTACATTTAATTATCCGACGCATACAGTGTGTTCGGAAATTAATGCAAAATTAATTTATCTATAGCATGTTAAAGATGCTATATGCTATGTATTATAATATGAGGGGATTGGGTAATTTACTTGAAAGGATAATAAAGTCTTCGAGACACGGCATAACTTCTAATTTAGGCAATTAGTTGGCAATCATCGTGCGGCGGACTAATTGTGTTCGCGCTCGCGTTGAAATAGTCATGGTCCGCTGTAAAAGGTCTTTGGGACGTAAACACACACCCTCCGGTTGACGTGAAAAGCACGACATTCATAATTCGGTTAAATTTGCTTTCGAAATTAGATTTGCGCGCGCCCATTGTGAAATTGCATGAATTATTCAAAAAATCATTTACAATAGACACATTGTATAGCGTGCAGAGGCACAGGATGTTATCATTTTTGATAAAAGGAAAATTTAGACAAAATATTATTACAAATATTGTTTTTTTTTGTTAAATATTGTGACTTATTATTATTTATAGTGTATTAAGTGCGTAAAATTAATTTTTAAACACGCAAAATGTAATATTATGTATAAGCAACTATGAAATAAGAATAAATTGTTTTTATATAGTGTTCTGATATAGCGTAGGCAAATGCGCAGGCGCGAGCTCCATCCCGTGCCTAAAACCCGTGACTAAAGTATTTTAGTCACGGCTTTGGCCGTCCGTATTTAAAATATCATTTTCTATGTCTCAAAACCGTGGAAAAATTGTGGTTTTGTAGGTGAAAGTCAAAAAAATAAATTATTATATTAAAAATGTTAAAAATAATGTTAAAAAATAAATTTTAGGTGAGTTGTATAATCGCATAGAACCGAAACTATAAAGGTATATAGTTTATACCAAAAGTAGTTTTGCTTGACAAACTTTTCAAAACTTCAAAACTTTAAAAATATTCTTTTGTGCACAAATACGTAAACATAAATTTTAAACATCAAAAAAACCTAAAATTCTCAAAAACGTATTTATCTCTGATGCAACGATGCAGAACCAAAGACTTTGTAAACTCTGACGTGAATTTATATGCAAAACAGTTTCTGTCCGATTCATCCAGGATACTCGTACATTCTGCTTCTTATGCTTGTTATTCTTGCATTTGGGTTTCATTCTGCGTTTGCTCTTCTGAACGGCCATGAATAATATTTATAGTATTTACATTTGTTTGACTTCCCTAATCTTCCGAGATACTTCTTGTCTTTACAGCTAACATCAAAATAAAAACACACGCAGTCACACAACAGCCAACAGGATATAAATACGACATAAAGGCTTTTGTTTTTTCATTCATGAATTTGTAATTAATTTCTTCATTAAGTTGTTTTCGTATGCTATCTGCGTTATTGTCCTCGTTCATTAATATTCATTAAACTTTTATTAAATTTTCTTGTTGGCTGTGTACATCACAAAGTATGCTTGAACTATTTGCATTCATCAATTTTAATTAGAACTTTTAGCGCTGATTTTTTTTGGCGCAATTAAGTTTGTTAGTTTTTGTTATTTCATAATTAAGTAACTAATTATGAGACAGACATTGGTTTAGTATTAAATTGTTGCTAATTTAATTGGTAATTAACAACATGCAACATTTATTATATAATATTGATTATAAAATTATTATAAACAAATTAATTTTAAAAAAAACTGGTTGATTTTTTTAGTAAGTAGCTTCTTATTATATTTTAAAGAAATCAGAATTGAAAATAATGCACTTTAGCGCCATCTCGGAATCAATTATTTAGCTATAGCTATAAATGAATCTCTATAACAATTTTTATCCTTCATTTAACACTGTTTGAGTCACAATTTCCAATATTTTAATAGTTATTCTGTCATTTCGGACAAAAATAAAATCCATAAGTCATAAATCATCAAAATCTATCCAGCCGTTCTTGAGTTATACGAGATGTAACTAACACAACTATTTTTTATATGTAAATAGATAGAATTTACACATTTTTCAACTTTATATCACAATAACTAAAATAATATTCAAAATAAAATAGTTTTTTAAACTAAAAATGTGAAATAATTTAAATGCGCGTACAATTTAATTACGTTTGTAAATTTTAAAATCAATAAAAAATTTTCATACATTTTTCCATATTGAGTTACAGTTTAAATTAAATAACGTGAAATATATTTATGTCCAAAATATTTTTTAATTGCCAATGTATAAAAAAATATATTTCCAATATCATGATAAAAGTTTGTTTATAATTTGTTGTAAATTAACATCATTTGTTAATCAATTATAACATTTATTTCAATTTTAGTAGAATTTTTGAGCACTATAATTAATTCTTATTTCTTTTGTTTTCCAGCTGACAATATTCTCTTATCAAGAAGTCGCCCCCGGCGTGTTTGATTGCTGGGCGACATTTCCTCAAGCCTGGGGCGAACGTATGTACGTCACGTGGTGAGTAAACTTAATTCCAAAAATGTGTAAACGTCGAATTGATCTCAGACAAAATAATCGTGAAACCATTCGTCTTCTTTCGTCATCTATTTCTTCTTTTTTTGTGTGGTAGTAGCAAAAAACGGTTTGACACGTTTGGGAAATCATTGCTGCTCCGTTTCTTTTAGGTCTACACTCATTGTGTAGAGTGTCAGCCTACTCTAAGCAATTTTATAAATATTTTTGTCCTTTCCCGCATTTCCCGCTATTGTTTATTTTCTATTTCGTTGAGAAATTGTCAAATAACCGGAAGATGTCTGGAATGTCCAGAAATGAAACATTTAATCCATTCAAGATTATTTTTTGTTTACTTAAAGAATGAATTTCGTTTTCTTTCTGCTTTTCCATTGGAAACATAAACACTGAGATAAAAGGATAAATTTAGTAGATTCATGTCCGCTGTCGACCCCATGTCAGTTATTAGATTTATTTGTCTGTTGGATTTCGTTTAGTTGTAATATTAAAAAACCTATTTTTCATTTCACTCCAAAACACAATATAATACATAACCTTTATATCATTGTATGCAACCAAGTATACACGACGAATACACTAAGCCAGTACAATGTGTACATTTGTATGCGTAGGTACGGAATATCGGTGTTCATCATCCCGCTGATCGTGCTGATCGTGACATACAGCTGTATTTGCCACGAAATTTGGCACAGCAGTGTTGGCGACCTTGGTCTGCGGCCGCGGAACGTGTCGACCAATTCGTCCTTCACGCATTACAAGTCCAGCCTGCCGCCGAAGCGTGCGCCGCTTATCTCACGCGCGAAGATCAACACCGTGAAGCAGACGATCGCCGTCATTGTCATGTACGTGGTGTGCTCGACGCCGTTCATCTCGGCGCATCTGTGGGCGACGTGGGATCCCAATGCGCACAAAAGTCCTTTTCTCGATGGTAAGAACACACAAAAAGATAATTTATTTTAATTTAATTTCAATTTGTTTGGTAACGTCATGTATTCTAGTGTAAGAAATGAAAATGTTTGTTTGTTTCATTTTCACGAGTAAACCACTCAATCAAATTTGATGAATTTTGGGATAGAGGTAGATTTATTCTAGGAGAATGACATAGACTACTTTTTGTAACAAAAATATAATATAAAGTGAGTGTTTTAAAGAAAATAAGTCGTGTTAGTTACATCATGAATAACTCAAGAATGGTTGGTCAGATTTTGATGATCTTTGATTTGTTGTATTTGCCTTGACCCCGAATAGCAGAATAAATGTTAAAATATTAAAAATTATGATTTAAAATAGTTAAAAATTGAAATTTACATTTTTTTATCTTTTAACTCTTTCAATTACTCTGACCTATATTTCTGTATCGATGCAAACTTGTTTTTCTGCCTTGTGAGTGTAACTTTTCAATTATAAAACAAACAATTCCGAGCGTTCGTATTTTTCACTCAGTACCCTCAACACTGAAATGGCAAGCAAACAAAGTGCGCGCAATCTTGAGTGGTAGGCATGAAAACACTGAAAGATACCCCGAGCTTAGGATAATATTAAAACAGTCGTTCAATCGCGTACCGGGCGGCGAATCGTAATGAAAACACAATTGCTCCACGCTCCAATCGCAATTTACCCACCGCAAAGCAAACAGCGCGCAGGAAAAAAACTGCATTCGTTTGCGGATTTCACTCTTTTTGCCTGCTTTTGGTTGACGTTTTACTGCCTTTTTGATGTATCAGAAAGTAGCAACCTTTTTTTACCCCACAAATACTAAAAGGTTATTAAAGTGTTAAAATGAGAAAAAATAACAAAAAGATTTTTTTGCGTCGTAATGAAAAAGTGTTTAAAGAATAAAACATAAAAATAAGAAATCCATTAGCGGGTTTATCCTAACAACAACAGCAGCATCAAGAATTGAATGAGAAAAATAAAAAATAAAAATAAAATGAAAAAAGTTCGGATTGAGACTAATAGGAAAATAATGAGAATGAAAAGCACTACTGTTGATTTCCGGTTTTCACACTTCCAACACAACACAAACACAAACATCCGGAAACTTTTTCATTAAGAAAATAACTTCTTGTTGTTGGCATGTACTTTCCGACGAACAAGACGATTGTTTATTGGTACTATTCTGTTGATGCTTAAACGAAAGCTGTAACAATGAAGTCTTTAAAAGCTCGTCCCGTGCCATCTTGTTTATTGCTCGTATGAGTCGTGCGAGACGCGTAAGTTGAATGTTGCTACAACATGGAGTTACGTGGGGCATAAAAATGAAATGGGTTTATGCTCTCGCGCGTAGTAGTACTTAACCCCGTTCGGGGCGCTTCTGTTCGAGTCGGTTACACTTAATCGGGTCACAGTTGACAAAGTTTGCAACAAGCCGTTCCAGCTCGCTGATAGTCACAGTACGAGTATATTGGAAATTGTTTTTAAAGTTTTAGTGTAGTAATGCATAGTAAGGGAAAAATCGGTTTCAGGATTGGATTAGGTTTTAAGTAGAGTTTAAAATTTGAGTTTATTGCAAACTAGGGATCTTACTGTATCTCAGGTGGTAGTAATTTTCTAATAAAGTAAATTAATGCATATAACAATAATAGGTATTAAATGTTTTATTTGGCACGATCTCGAGTGTACTCATAACTAATTATTGTCTATAATATTTTATGTTCTGGGATGCGCCTTCTAAAACTTTAATGCACATAAGTCAAAAATGCATCACATTGAGTTTTATTACATTTTTACCTTTTTTCACGGTTTTTAGATACAAAAAGAGGTACTTTAAACATGGACCGTGACTAAAGTACTTTAATCGCGAGTTTTAGTCACGGGGTGGAGCTTACACTTGCGCATTTGCCTACGGTACACCACAACACTATATGAAATGAATGAAATGATTAAATGTTCGCTTCGCTCGTTTTAAATCAATTTGGTGACAAAAACTCCCGTTTAGTCACTTGATAGTTACAATACTATTTATATTTATATAGAATTAATTCCAATTTTAACTTTAGCCATGTATGACTTTTAATCCGATTTTTATCCAAATTCAATCCTATTATATAAACAATTATAGTGAAAAAACAAATTATTCACTTTTATATCAGTTATTTAGTTTTGTTGTGGTTTAAATATATCACCTTCGGGCTGAAAGGTGTTAATGGCACGGCGGAGTTAATTAAAGTTGTAAATTTCCGGTTGGCAACAATGTGTTGGATAATATTTATTTATTTTCACCGCGCGCTTTTCCACATAATGAAAACAATAAAAATCCAGCGTTGTAAGCGAGATTATGAAAATATGCGCGGGAAAATAAACGACTGCGATGGGATGTCCTAAATCCCAGATCAAATAAATATCCGCACTTCGCATTTAGCAGTTACCACCAAACAGTAAACATACAAAACGTAAAATATTTAAATATATCGAAATTCAGAGATAACTTTTTTTGTTTTTGTGTTTTCCAGGACCGTGCTTTACGATATTGACACTCCTGTACAGTTTAAACAGCTGCGTGAATCCATGGATCTATTTGACATTTAATCGTGAATTACCACGACTGTTGATCCGACACTACACGACCAACCGCAACAATAACTACACTTCCGCAGCTGGTAAGTGCCCCGCCCATCCACGTCATCCGTCCATCAAGCCACTCCTTCCATCCCGCTAGCTCCGCCCTCACAAAGGAGGAGCAAATGTCGCTGATTGTTCATTTTGTACACACACGGCCGATCCGACTGACTGCTTGTCTTCGTCTGTTTGTCTGTTCTTTAGTGTTCTTTAATAGCGAAAAGGTCGAAACGATCGTATAAGCGTATTACAATTGCAAACTTTTTGCTCCGTCCCGCGCAGGTAACAGTACAAGTAACTCCTCAGGTGCGGTGGAGAGCACGTCCCTGCGTCCCTTCACACGCTGGTCGTTCTGCAACGGAAACCGCGTCAAACAACCGGGTAGTATGGGCGGAAGTGGCGGCGGTGGTGGCAGCGGTGGCGGTGTAGGACAACCGCTTGTGAGCAACGGTCGCGGACACTATCATCATCCACACCATCCGCATCATCGACCCTACGTAGCGCAGTACAATCAACGTCGGTGGATTGTCACGACGACTAACACCTGATCGTCGGGGGATGGCGGCGGCGGTGGTAAACCGCGCCGTCACCATGTGCGCGTCAACGATGAGGAACTCACCGAGCTCACCGATGTTGAGCTTGACATGCGTGTGGACAACAACGACGAGACTGTGATGTAATTAAAAAGTAAAATGTATCTTCAAAGAAATAATTCACATAAGACTGTTTGTGTAACATAGGCAACCCATTATACTTCATTATTCATTGTTTTATGCATGGAAGGAAATCTATATTACAACGAAGTCTCATTTTGAAGCTTTATACGTAATTAAAAACTGCTTGGATTTTGTTGGGAAACAAAAATATTTATTGTATATTTGTTTGATCTGTATCTCCTTGAGGAGTTGAGATTTGTGTTTGTTAAAAGTGATTTCAGCAATGTAATACCTTGGAGAGTGCGAGATTTTTAATGAATGCGTTTGCGTCATTTCGAACCGTAACGACAGCAGAAGATACTTGTACCTGGAATGCGTTTCATTTCGCTGTGATTGTCGCGTGTTCAAAGAGTGTTCGCATCTATCAAAGAAAAGGTTTCTCATTGTCGTTTTTCGATATTTTCTTACATCGCCTCCGTCTGTTTATTCACGTGTGCGGAGATATTTGCGCTCGGATCAGGTCGCATTTTGCTTTTAGGGGAGCTGACGACGCGTCGTGTATTTTTATCGCTGGCTACAATAAATTCCAAAAATAACAAGGAATTGAATTTTGGAAATTATCGGAATGTGTCTGAGTAAATATTTGCGCAAAAAATTACGCATTATGAAATTCTTTTTATGGTTGCGTCTAACGAAGCGCGTGTTTGGTTGCATAAGTTGTTTACATGTCAATATATATATTTATATATATATTCATAATGCAAAATCGTTGATGTCACGTTTAATTATAAATAACTAAAGAACCGAAAACTCGATTTATATAATTTTCAATTTGTAGGGTTTGCTAATGACTTAATTAACGAAATATTTGTTAAAACATCAGAAAGTTTCTTGTAAAATTAAGAAACAAAAAAATTGATTACAAATGAGGTTATGTTGCTTGATATAATAGGCAATATAAATAAATTACGTTTTTGCTAAATAAATTTTGTATATTTCAATATTATTAAACTTAAAACATTTAATTTGGGCAATTACTGTATCAAAATACTAAAACTAAATTAAATACATTTAATATTAACTATCATTTCAAGAGAACGATGTCAGGCGCGACAGCTAGTTTTAAATATTCAGTTAAACATTCACTTTATACCACATTAATTGGACATTATTTCATCTAAACAAATCAGTTTGTTAAATCTACAAAATATCATTACATATTAATCTGTTTAAACATATGTAACTAAAGTTAAACAAACGCACAATTGGCAATGACAGTAATCAGATATATTTTGGGCGTCCGGGCAATCTATTATTCACAATTCACGATTATTAATTAAAATCAGCTCGTGCAATATTCATTTGCCACATTATATCCGTCACGCCGATTGGCTTGTCTGAAAGCTACAATAAATGTAAATATAATATCGCGTCAGTAACCAACGCACGTCAAAAGCCTATAAATTCAACCTGTTTTGTTTGTTTAAAGCTTCAAAATGACACAAGCGATTTAATTAATTTCGTAATCTGATTGTCAATTATTTTGATATAGGTAAATATTAGTTATGTTAGTTTTATAGTTTTAGGTTTAAATTGAGCGAAAAATATTTTATAAATATTTTTATATCGTGTACTTACCAAATATTAGTATGTAATGATAAATTAATTAAATTATTGTAAATGAAATAACAGTTTACGTGTTGAAATATTAATTATGTTCACAAAATGTAAAAATATGGTTGCAGCATGAATTTTAAAGTGAATTCAACTAAAATATGTTGTTTTTAATGAAAATAGTGAATTATTGAGGTTAAGTAAAAAGTTATGCTCTAAAACCTTTATAATTTACTCGTTTTACATCAAAAAACATTTTAAAAACTCAGATTATAAACAATTTTCTAATAAATCAAATACTTCATTAAATTTTTAACACCCTAACGACCCATTTACACTTTACATCACGTTATGTAAACAATAAAAGACTAGATTTATTTAAATTTAAACTAAAAATAAAAACACGACTAAAGTAAATAAAATTCTACTTTAAAAGTAAAATAAAACAAAAATTATATAAAAATCATGCTGCAACCCATAAAATGAATAATTTTGTAATTGCTGTAAATAAACTATTTTAAATACATAATGGAATTGTATAACAAATGAATTTATCAAGGTATATACTCATCGAACTCAAAAGAAGTAATTGTAAGAATTGCAAACATAATATTAATATAAAAAATAAGATTATAGCTAAAGTTATTGGTCGATTTAAGATGATTTATAAGAATAAATGTGAACATTGTGATATTTTTTAAACAACTAATGTTATCCGAGATAAGAAGAAAAATATACGACACATTAATTTCGAATTTCAATCTTTTTACTTTCTTTCACTTTCCACTCCGTGAATAAACCATAAATAAATGTCAATGAACGTGACGATGTTATCTCTTCTCTTACGATCGATTTTATGGTGATGTCAGTCAGTCATCAATCGCCTACAAACAAGTTTATTTCAAATTTAATATCCGTTATACCCATGTTTCCATTTATAAACTATCAACTATCAACTATACCCTAAAACTAAATATGTATTAAAATGTGCGTCACGTGTGTGCAAACCGTTTCACGTTCCAGGTTTTATCCATATAATATTCCCAACATTTTTTCGCATCATAAACTTCATATCTCTATGACTAGAAGTGTAAAGTATAAAGTGTTGCAAATTGAAATAAATTTATACCCACAATATGAGCGCATGTTGGCGGTGCAAAAAGTTAATCCGTTAGAGAATAGATGATGATGGGAGCGTGTCTTTTTTTTTCTAAATGTTAGACCGGGGATAAAATTATTCGTGCAAACTAGACAACTTTTTGCGCGATTTATATTCTGTGTGTCGTTAGTATTCTTATACCACTTGAATATAATTTTCACACAATTTGAGGATTTAAGGGTTTTCTCTGGGGTGAAGAACCGAGACTAAATGTAAACACAGCGTTTTATTGAATAAATTTGTATTTTTTGGAATATTGTGTATTATTTTAGTAATTTTAATGTTTTGCTTTGATTAAGATTTATTTTGGCAACGAAAAGTAGCTAATATCCTTTTCATAGTCTTATCTACTCCTGTATTTAATTTTATCAAATTTTATTCAGTAGTTTAGGCGTGAAACGGTTACAAACATACATATTTACACATTTATACCACTACATTACGTATATATCACAAACTTATTAAATAGAAACCTGTAGCCTTACCTCATTCTGTTTTTTACTATTTTCTACTTTTTGTTGATAGATGTCAGCACTAACACTTAAAAACCACAAATAAAATGTTTTCTCTCTTATACTGTGTGTAATTCAAGAAGTAAGTTCTATAATATTCTTCAAATATTTATTTTCAATTACCTGGAGCACTACAATTTGATTGGCAGAGTATTTTATTAAATATTTTTTCCATCTTGTTGTCCCCTTCAATATGTTTACCCTCTGTTATTAATTCGCCTCACGTTCGTACGCACTCACGCCAATATCATGTTATTTTCACATTTATTCCTCAATTTACAACTTTCAACATTTACCCAGTTCCACTTCTATTTTCGGCGTTTCTTTTGGAGATATCTCGATTCTCGTATTTCTCCGCCGCTGATAATATCCTAATACTTGGCTACCCACCTACGTTTAATGCATTACCTGCGCCTAAAAAGTATTTCCGTGTGTTTTCCAAGAAGCTCTCTTTCAGAATGCTCCTACGGTCTTTCAGCCCTTTAGATTCCCGTCGGGTTTTTGTGCCTTCGTTGAATTTACCATAAGAACTTCGATAGCGATCGTTATCACGATAATGTTCCGCTTTCCACGTGGCTGCAAAATCCGGAAACATCTTTCCGTGATATTTTTTGTGGCTTTATTTTTTTGGTATGCTGCGACGTCGATTTTATTTGCGTTTCCTGAGATGGCACTGCGGGCATAATCGCTCCTCGGAGACGTTCCCATGAATAATTTAATGAAGAAACCTTCAGTTGAGCGCAAAATCTTAGCCTGGGAAGTTTTGCTGCTTTGCAGTTTCGCACACGCTTTGCATTATGAAACAAGCGGGTAATGAATGTTTTGTGTCATAACAGAGTTAGTTACTTATGAGTGTTGAAATGGACAGGGGCTGGAAATCAACCAAAATAGGTTAAGTAAGTATATTTTTTATTGTATTTTTTTCAACGGTTGAAAGAAACTTTTTAAAAAAGTTATTGCAACTGAATTGGCCTATATCTCAGGAGGGTTTCTTTTCATTTGCATTCAAGTTTTTATTACAGGTATTCAGACGTTCAGGAAAACCCGTTTGGACAAGCATGGCTTCATTTTAAAAGCCACTTTTGTGAAATGTAAATTTTTCGATTTAAAACGAACAAAAAATATATTTTTGTGACTCACACAATTCAAACTGAACTTATGCCGATTATTTGTCTGTGTTTCTCCGCAAATTTCGCCAAAATCGATGCAAACGTTTTACTGCCCAAAGGTAACATACACACACTCATTACTTTTTATAGAAAAGAACTGATAGAATCTGCTTTTGATCTGACCGCAATCAAACTTTATAAAAACTTCATCAAATTTCATTAAAATCGATTTACATATTTTGCATAAATTTTATATGTGAACTAGGTGTTTAATAAAAATGTAATTCGTTTTTACTCTCTTGTTCTAGACATAGTATGTATCAATTCTATCAATAAGATCCACAATTTTACTTTAAAGAAATTAATTATATAAAGAATTGCTAATAATACACTTCAGCGCGCCATCTCGGATTCAACTATTTAACTATAACTATGATTGAATCTCAATGCCAACTTTTATCCTATTGAAAAGGGCTGTCTTTAGGGTTTTCTCGGCAATTATTAGAATATTTCTCGCCGTAAAAACCATCCTTGGACTTTAACAAACATTTAAAAAAAAGAATTGGCCAAATTGGTCTAGGTGTTGTAGAGTTATGCACTTACCAACAGACTTTGCGATTCATTTTTATATTATAGATTACATAACTAACCTCAATTATAAAATATTTATTATAGGTATTTATGCACAAAACACAAAATAGCACTCTCATTATTAAACGACTTTGTATAACGCATCTACTCTTATAAATATTAAACATGTGCAAATATATTGACCCAAACTCAAAAGTTCCTCATATATCCACATACGTGTCATACTAATTACTCTTTGAAATACTCCCTTCCTCAAAGATCTCCTCATACCGACATATACTCATACGACCGTCGTTACCTAGACACATTTCACTCCCGACCGACACAAATGCATGCTAAACCTCCATGTAAACAATACCCAAATGTGAGCATCAGTAAACGCATAGTTGGCATTCCTCGCTACATAGTTACAAAGCCCCAGCTCATCATCCTTGATTTACATATTGTGTTACATATCGGAATGCGCGCATGATCAAGTTTGTAAGGAATAGTAACACAAGATTTACATGAGGTAATAATTACCAGATAGATGGTTACTGATGTATGTATTAATAATTGAATCTTATTGCGTTGTGATAGATAACTTAGGATAAAGTTTAGTTTAGATTTGGATTTGGACTTTCTTTGATAACTTAAGAAGTGCTTTGGATGCTGTTTTGAACATGTCTAGAGAAATTGATAGAGTCTGGCAAGCGAGGAAATTCGAGGAAGACCGGTAAGGATCAACAAAGAACGGTAAGTAATTACAGACATACACGTAATATAGTTAGATATATAGGTACAGTGTGTTGCAGATATACAAACCGAATAGAGTGGGGTGTAGTAGCATTTCTTATTTCTTTACCTTCTCTGTTTGATGTGAGCTTGCCAAGATCATTCCTTCTCACTTGTTCGGTTTCCCGATCGTGTTATGTCGTGTGAACTGCGATTTCCACTTCAATTAGCCAATCATCGCGTTATGCCAAATCAGAAACTGCCAAATGTCGCTAATTATTGAAATGTTACCACTACTTACACACTGAAATATAAAGCAGTACGATTCATGACACTGAGGCCTCTCTGGGACATTTGTATTGTGACAATTCCAAATTTAAGCGATGAACTTCGAATCAACACGATTGTTAACACTAAGAACACACTTCATACTACAAACAGTAGTATTTATGAGATACACTGTAGAAGTATCAATAGCTTACATCAGCATTCCAGAAATCCATTACAGATAGCGCCCAATTTGTATGCAACCTAAACTGCATTTTTTGTTTATCTGCTTATCTAAACATTAGTCATGCGGAAACAAACACATTTCGTAATAATGAAATGTTTAACTATAAATTGTAACTTCCAAAAACAATAGCGCTAACAATGCAACTATGCACACATTACTGCACTGAACAAACATTTAACTCAAATGCATTTGAACACAATGAGTTTCTAAATTGTAACACTAGAGTCTCATTGTTGCGACATAAATTTTAATTAATGGCGAGAGATAAAGATAAAAACGAATTTTGTTATAATGTAAAATGTAATACGTAGGTGTAGGTGTAGAGTGTAGATAATACACTTTAATTGCATGCAACCAAGTGTGCATGATGTTGCTATGGAAACATGTGAATTACACATGTGGATATTTGTGGAGGTTGTAAAGATTAAAAGGCAGTGATTGGTAATTGGTCCAAGTGTGTTGATATTGTAGTAATCTATTTTATTTCGAAAAGTGTAGAATCTATATCTAATATGTACAAATATAGAGTTGAAATGATTATTAGTAAATAATCAGTGTAATAAAAAAGTATTATGATAGAGAATTCAAAATTACGCTTTCATAAAGAATCCTTATTAATCGCATTATACCTGGAAAAAAGTGTTTGTGTGTTTGCTTTATTTGTTTGTTTATTACATATATTTTCAAGGGCATAGTAAGAAAAAAAGTCTTATGTTTCTTTAATAATTTTATAAGAAATTCTTAAATGGACAAGAATTTAAAGGCTTTTTCTGTCACTCGTTTTTAGTTTGCGCAATTGTAATCGCAATTGAAAACTTCTTACGCTAACAATTCCTAAACTCTAAGAGCCTGCAGAAAAACTGCAATTTAAACTTTTAAACATACCAGACATTTGCACTTGTAACTCCTTGTTATTTTGATTTTCCTCTAAGACATTAACAACTTTGAAAACAATACACTTCAATAAATTCAAAACCAAATTTTTAAAAACATAAAATAAAACATAATTATAAATTTTTAAAATGATAACTAAACTAAAAATATTCTACGTAGAAAAGATTCCTGCAAATAAACAAAACAATGCACTATGCACTCTATTAATATTCATATGCAAATAAGTGCATAGACATATAATCCGAGACCTAACAAATGAAATAAATTCAACACCATCAATACTAATACACGAGAATATATAACTGAGTTGAAAGTTCACATCTTTATTGAGCGATGTCTCATGTCTCATATATCGCACGTTTCGAACAACCGGCGACGCAATAATGCGATAAACGAACATTACTCGTATATACACACAATACACAAAACAAAACGTAATATCAACACAAGATATCTACACTGTTACAATACATGTGTTGTCTCTACGGCCGCGCAGAAAGTGAGAAACATTCAACAACGCTTACATCGAGCGAAGCACGGATGAAACACATTACAAATGAAACAAAATTACATTCGAACGAATCGTGCGTGAATCTGCCCCGGCTATAATTTGTATGTAGCGAACGCGTTGCCTAGAAATTACACAGATAGCGCGGCAAGTGTTCGAAGTATGCTGAATGCAAACAGTCGGGAACTCGCGGCGCTGATAGAAAAATAGAAATAGAGCAGGAAACAACTTCACGCTCTATGTTCATCAGTGTATAGTCAGAAACAAATAGAATATAACAGAAATCAATATATTGTGAATTATCAGTATCAAAAGAATAAAAAATACTTTTTCAAAAGTTCAACTTGGAATAAATCATAAGTGAAACATAATTATGTCCAACAAAGCAATCAAAGTAAGTTTACACATCAAAACACAACTTTTAGGTTACTTTAAAATAGATTAATAAGTAAATATACAGTAAGTGCTTATAACAGCTAAGTATACTTATGTGTATATTTGGTTGCCTACGTTAAAACATCACTTTACATTTAAATTCAATTTAAACCATTCCCAGATTGGAATTATCGGTGGTTCCGGCCTGGACAATCCAGACATACTACAAAACAAACGTGAAGTATCAGTAACCACCCCATTTGGTGCCCCATCTGATGTTTTAATCGAAGGGGAAATATCTTCAGTACCTTGCGTGCTTCTAGCACGTCACGGACGCAGGCATTCACTAATGCCAGGAGTAGTAAACTACCGCGCAAATATATGGGCTTTAAAAGAAGCTGGATGCACTCATATTATAGCATCAACCGCCACGGGTTCACTACGTGAAGAAATCCATCCTGGTGATTTAGTTTTACTGGATAATTTCATAGACCGAACTCAGGGAAGAAAACAAACATTTTATGACGGCGGTGAAAATTCTCCAATAGGTGTATGTCACTTACCAATGGAACCTGCATATTGTGAGAAGACAAGACAAGTACTTTTACAAGCGGGGAAAAGTATAGGGTTGAATATTCATGAAAAAGGGACAGTTGTCGCTATTGAAGGGCCAAGATTCTCCAGCAAGGCAGAAAGTAACATGTATAGGAGTTTTGGAGGAAGTGTTATAAACATGACAAGTGTTCCAGAGGTTTGACAACAAAAAAATATATAAAAATAGATATTTAAATGTCAAGTTTGGTTAGGTTATGTTATGTTATGTTTAAGGTGGTATTGGCAAAGGAAGCAGGCATTTGTTACGCGTCAGTTGCCTTGGCAACCGACTACGACTGTTGGCGAGATTCCGGCGAAAAAGTGAGCGTCGCTCATGTGTTACAAACGTTCAAAAACAACGTCTCTAAAATGACTCAGCTTATACTTGCGGTTGTACCCCTCATCGCCGCTGAAACTTGGGATGAAACTATCGACGAACTACAAGTAAACTACCTTTCTCTTTTTAAAATATCATAACCTTAAATCTTTCGTGTTTCTTTGTTACAGAACACTGTAAAATCAAGTGTCATGCTTCCACATTGATTCCACAACGCCATCTATCAAATTTATACTACAGAAAACTGTAAAGTTTATCGTAATGCTTTCACATTGAATCAACAGCGCCATCTATATAATATATACCACAGCAGACTATAAAATCAAGTATAATGCGTCCGCAGCGCTATCTATCGAATAGATATAAATTTATTCAATCAAAGCGACATTAATTACGCACATAGAATTAACACAGCTTCGAGTGATCGTAAACAAAACATTTAAAAAAACGCACACACACACATTAAATAAAACGTGCAAAAGAAGTACAGTACAGTACGGTACAAAACAGTCTTATCTTAAAAATTACTCCCTAAACACGTATTCCGCTTTTGTTGTTTTTTTTTTTTTGCTCGCTATCAGTTTACTGCTAAGTGCTTGCGTTGCGGATGATCGCCGCACGTAAAAAGTTATGATACAATGTGTTCGATGCGTTTATAAATCCTGCTGGCTTTTCCTGCGCACGTACTTGTTGAAGTAATCAGGTCGCCAGCACTTGCACGAGCCGGGGATGAGGAACCAGTCGTAGTAGAGCCGCACCTGGAAGCAACCCAATGCATCCACGCCGTCACAATGTGTGGGTTTTGACGTCGTTGTGGTGGAATCGATGGGCGGGGCTTGCAAACCAGCGCGTTTGTGTAAATACTGTTGATAATTCTATAAAAAGAAAAAATAGGTTAAAATTTAAATTTTGTGGTTTAGGTTATGATATAACCTGAAAATCTTGAACTGATGGTGGTTGTGACGCGGCTACTGGACTCCTAGGTGGATTACTCATCTCGGGGTTAGACAGGACCGTATCAGGGTAGTAAATTTCAGCGACTAATAGACTTGACCATCTTGGTGAAGATAAACAACCGCCGTCCAAGTAGTGACAACGTGATTGTAAACATCTAGAAAAAATTTGAGGTTATTTTCTTCTTTTTATTTTTTTCTGTTTAGTTTCTTTTTTTTTTTGTTTTGTTTTTTGTTTCTAACCTGGTAACTTCAACTGTTTGAGTAAAATATCCTTCATAAGGTATTTGCACCACATAACGCCATATGCCTTGATAGTTCTTGGCGAAAACAGGCGTGGCGTATTCTACTTTAGCCGGACATGGAGTGGGCGGTCCTTCGTAGCGTGGAACTGGTGACTGTGCATCATCTCGTCTTTCAATAGGTAAATGTACAGTGGATGACGGTCCAGATGAATGTGGTTCACCATTTATTGCTTTATACAACATGCAGAAGACTCCGCCTTGGTCGCAGAACTTTTTACCTTTACGATTTGCTTCGTCAGCGTCCACATCAGAGGTGGAGCTTTGCACAGGGGCGGAGCTACGAGGTGCTTGACGCCTCACACGATCCGTGTGTTGGTAAGGTGTGATACTTTATTTATAAAATATTGAAATGATATTATAATAACAAGGAATATTTATATTTTATATTTACATACGTGTTTTGTGAAACAAGATCATCTTGGAGCTGGGCAACTTTTGGGAGTGTTTCATCTGCTTTCAAAATAGGTAGCGTACGGCTCAGATATTTCAAGGTCATATTACGAATTAATTCACTGGAAAAATATTTTAAATTCATTTTTATAAACAAAATTATTTAAAAAGAAAAAAAACTTACAAAGGATATGGTGACCCTAAAACATTTTGCCCCATTGGGTTCCTTGGTATGGTCCCTTTGTTAAGATCACCACAAATATTACGTGGTGAAGCGGATGGACCGCCCATCGGACGCTCATCATCATCTCGCCGGTCTCCGCCTGTGGAACCGCAGTCCACTGACGCGAACGTATACGGAGGTGGGCGTACTCTGGGCGGTTCAGCATTTGGTGATTCAACAAACGCATAGTAACCTTCGGGCGGATCTTCTGTACTAGAGGCGGATGCAGCTGCTCCTGCCAACGCCCCTGGCGATGGTTGCGGTATAGGTTCTTTAAAATCTTTGCCTTCTTCTACTTCTGGTTTGATTTGACACGAGCACGTACTTAATAATATAAATAACTGAAAGTGAAATATGTATATAGTGATTAGAAATATATGCAACCCAATTTACACGTAACGATTTGCAATTTTACTTCAAAGAAATGAAAATTAAAAATAATGCACTTTAGCACCATCTCTGATGCAATTATTTAACTATAACTATGATTGAATCTCTATACCAATTTTCATCCTTTATTTAACACCTTTTCAATTATAATTTTTAATATTTTGATAGTGATTCTTCTATTCAAGGTTAAACCTAATATAAAAAATCTTAAATCATGAAAATCCGCCCACGCGTTTTTGAGTTATAAACGTTTTAACCAACACAACTTTGTTTTATGTATATAAATTAAAATTTTGATAGTCACTGACATAAACAGTGACCATAGTAGACATGCATGTGTAGTATTGAATGGAAGAAGGTACAGTTAAGTGTATTAACGGGACACATCGGATTCTTTGAATGTCGCTTTAGTTGCTTTAGTTTCTTCCGTCGTCGTCGACGAAGCTTTTAACACCAACTTCGAAGCCACCTAGGGATTCCGTATACTTCAACTCCATTCATATATAACTCGACATAACTCCAACATCTTTACATCATTTGCATAATATTCGTATATAGCATCCTAAACTTAGAACTTTGTATCTCGCACAGGTTAAACACGAACAACTTTTTATACAACATTTTAACATGCCTCGTGTGTATAAAATAAAATTCATATTTTAATTTTGTTGGTTTAATGAACCCAGAGACATATTAAAACTGATTAATATTTATTGTTGAGCTTTTTATACGTAATATTTCATGGCGAGTACATTCACCTTTCGGAAAGCTCCACAGAGGTAAACTTCACACACTCGGACAGTGTGTGAAGGTCGTCGACTGACCTTCATGATGAAATACGTGCTTATCTGCGCGGCAAGTGTAACGAGCTTAATCTCACCGGTTAAAACTAGGTCTCCATCGGCTCATAAATAAAACTTTAAGTTTACTTAAACATTTAATCTTTTTTTTTTTTTTTTTTTCTTTTCTTCGAAGATTACATAATTATTTATTATTTCATTTAATTTTTTGTCTGATTTGTTTGATTTTGTAATAATCCAGTACGAAAAAAAACTAACTGTGATTACAGTTAGATCACACATGTATAACACGTAAACAACTCGCACGCAAATCCAAAGAATTCGTAAGAATAGAAATAGAAATAGAAGACGTGGTCAGAAGTATAATTGTGCTAACAACACAAGCACACAAGTGTGAGTGTAAGTGTAAGTGCTCATGCGCGAAGCAAATGCAGACGTTGACGAAATTTGGCGATACTTTAAGGCGGTAATTAACAGCGTCGAAATATATTGCGTAGATTTTATAATTGCAGTCGTTATTTGATATTTCATCACCTGCAATATTGTAATATTTGATTTTATTATCAACTTGAACTAAATACATGTTCCACATAACCTTAAAATATAATTTAGGTTATGTTAGGTTATGTTTCAGAAAAAACTGTCAAAAATGTATTAAAATGATATCTACAGATGATAAAATAAACAATTTATGTTTAAATTGACATAAAGTGTTCATAAATGATAAAAATTTAACTTCCTGCTTTCCAAAACATTAATATTTTGATTATTTTGTGTTGATAAGCACAAAAACAATAATTAATATAAATAATTATAAATCAAGCGAGTAATAACATAAATTATATCAATGAAATTTTTTTAAACATTTAAACGATAGAATTCATACTAAAGTATACAAATGTCGCGCATGTGCACAAAATATTCAACTTTTATTTGTTTTGAAGGATGAGCAGTTATCCGCGTCATCGATTGTCTCCATATATGTTTGTACAGTTGTAATATAGTACCGTTTTATTATAAAATAAATTTACGGTACATTTTATTTGTCACTGTATCCGTTTTAATATTTAATGTCGATGACATAACACACATGGACTTTGTATCACATTGAAACACATAACTATGCAATTTACGCAAATGTATATAATTAAATTAATTGATGCGTCGCATTGTTGAAATTAGAAAAACCTAATTATATTTGTTGACATTTGCGTCATTCGCACATTTTCCGCATAAACAAATAAATACAAAATAATGCAAGTTATGTTAATAATACGTACCCAACATGAAAAATTAATCCACTTCATTTTAGCAAAATTTCCCGATATTTAAAATATGCACTTTGTATCACTGTAAACAAAACTTATTTCGTCAACCTGGCGGAGCTCGTATGTTATGTGTTTGAAAGTTTTAACCAAATCCCGAATAGTTTGAAGTTTTGGGTCTTTTGGGTGCGTTGAAGCGGGTTGGATCGTCGCGTCTAAACTGTCTGGACGCTGCTGTCGTTCACGTCTTCTTCTTCTTCTTGTTCTTTGGCGGTGGCCCCGAAGAAGTGGGAAACGAGACGCAAGGTGTGCGCCCGATGACGAACGCAAGCAACGCCTAACGGGACACGCATATCTTCAGCGCTTCGTTGCCTTCGAACACGTATTCACGCTAATCATCCCGGATCACATACAGGACGATCGAGATATTCACAAAAACACACAAAACACCACATTTTAAAACCTAACAAATTTATTTATTTGAGGTTATGTTGTTTGGTGCAACACAAGTTGCCTAGGTTAAATTTTATTCGGACACATTGTATATTAGGATTAGAACAGTGAGATAAACGACGTTTAGTCAGTCGGTGAAAAGCAAAACGATCGCAAAACAAAAATACGTAAAGACTAAGATACTAGATGAGAAAACAAAACAAAAACAACATGGCCGCCGAGGAAATAAGGACGAGCAAATTGTATCCGTGTTCGAACGCAATTCGTGCCAGCAGCCAACATCAAGAAGCGACCAACCGGTTGAATGGAAAATTTACGAGCATTTCCATTAACAAGCGCGCTCAAACGATTTTAATGACGCTGGCTGTGGGTCAATCTAGCCATTGTTTATTCAAACGATGGACGAATTAAAATTTAATTGTCGCGCTTAGGTTTTCACGGAATGAAATGCATGTCAATCAGCAGTTAGACGCGATGATAAACAAGAAATGGATGTTTTGTGCATGTCGCTTCGCTTGTTTTGTTGGTTGTGAATCGAGAATAAACAAATGAATGCTCGGAGGATTGTGTGTTGTGTCTTGTTTTTTCGGATGCACGAAAAAGGCGGCAGTGGACAGGAAATTAGTTTTTTTGCGGCTGCAAGCGGCGCGCACCGGTTTATTACGTGACTATTATTAGGAAATTAACCGAATTCGCGTGGCGTTTCTAGGTTAGGTGAAAGATTTACAGTTGGGCGGAATTTGTCACTAATTGCTGCTTAAAATTGGAGAAAAACTTAATGACATACATTGTATTTATTATACTTGCTTTTGTCCGCGACTTCATCCCGGTAGTGTTTAATAAAATGTAGGTAATTCGTTTTTACTCTCTTGTTCTAGACATAGTATGTGTCAATTCTATCAATTAGATTCGCAATTTTATTTTAAAGAAATTAATTATCTAAAGAAATTCTAATAATGCACTTCAGCGCGCCATCTAGGATACAACTATTTAACTATAACTATGATTGAATTTCAATGCCAACTTTTATCCTATAGAAAAGGGCTGTCTTTAGGCTTTTCCTGGCAATTATTCGAATTTTTCTCGCCGTAAAAACCATCCTTGCACATTAGCGAACATTAAAAAAAAGAATTGGCCAAATTGGTTGAGGCGTTGTTGAGTTATGCGCTTACCAACACATTTTGCGATTCATTTTTATATTGTAGATTTAATATTATTTATCAATTTACCTAGCATATTACTATGAAGGATGTAGAATATCATAAAATTAAAACATTTAATGAAATGATTTATTACAATTTAAAAAATAATCAAAATCATGACTAAAAATCTAAAAAACTTAACCTAATCTAACCTTACCCAATCTAAAATAAGTTACGTCAGTTACCACAACCGATTTTACCGACAATGACATTCCGAATTCGTTGATATTTTTGCTAAACAAAACATTAATACTACACCAAACAACTTATCAGTAAAATTAAATATTAATATTCAACATATACTTATCATTTTATATATTTTTGCTTTGTTTCGTTATTTACAAAATATAAAATACCATAAATTGTTAGTTATAAATGTCTATAATTAAAATTTTGGAGGTTTTTTTTAAACATTAAACTTGCTATTCGAACTGATAACGACATTTTTACATAAAAGCTAGTAATTTAATTCCTACTAAATGGTCTGCCAAGTTTATGAATGGACATATTTCAGGTTATAAACAATGTGTTATGATGTATTCAAGGTTGTCTAACTAACGATAGAAAGCTCTAAATGAAAGTACTACACTTTACATGCAAATATAATTTATAATTAATAACTCTACATACATTAACAAATTGAGAGGAAAGTTAGTTTATGTTTCAAATTAAACGATAACCTGAATATTATTAGTTTACAATTTTGATTATTGAACTGTTTAATTGTTATTATTGATATCAATCAATCCATGCCCAAATAATTATGTACTATTATTAACATGCAAGATATAATCCGCGTAATAATAATCCACCAACTAAAACACTCCCATCTGACAGGTGACACGTGATCCGCCATTGTGGATGTAATGCGCTAACGTTCGATTAAACATCAAAAGCTCTCTATCTGAATCTGATTGATGCGCCCCTCGTTAAACGTTAAACGGCCGCACATGAACGTTTCACGCTCAATCGACATCGATATCAACTCCCGACATCGGTAATTATAATAATAGTAAATCCCAAATCCCAAAGACTACGATATCATCTATATTATCTAATCCAAAATGGCCGACGTTCACTAAGTGCCATTTTGTGGTATGGCAACACTAAAGTGAAACAAAGAACTGTCCCAAATGTATGTTGGTGATAAATACCGCTTAGGGTACGGAACAACCCTTATCTCTAATTTGGAATAGGCGCAAAGGGGTACAAATTGCAAGTTTACCAAATTAACAGTTTTACGATGCCGTGTAACTGCGTGCGAAAATTAAAATGACTAGATTTATTATCATCCCCGAGTAGTAAATACAACCACAATGCAGAATTTGATATTTTTTCATTTTTAGTAGTTTTCGCACGTTTTAGTTGTACGTGATGCAATGTTGGTTGCCTAGCTTAAAGCGGTTGTCACCATCTACATCCGGTTGGAAATGTGCGATCTGCGATCCGATTACGTGTCGAAAAGACAAAGCTGTTAATTCTTCTCGCGCGCGCTTTTACCTAATCCAATCCTTAATATATCGTGCTTTATTCACGCGGCGCGTTAGCAACTGTTTTCGCACATATCGCTCACGGAACGAAGCTTAAAGCTTGAAAAGTCGGCATGCTACGTGTGCGCGTATAAATCCCAATTTATATCTCTACGCTTTAATTAACATTCTGCCGGTGCTGTAAAACAGTCCTGCATTTGCATTACACACTAAATGTTGCTTTCCTTTTCCTGTCTTACTACTTCAATATACACATTTTAGTTTAGTTTTAGTAATGTATATTTAATTAAAAACAGTAAGTATATGTCATGATAATTAAATTAATTAATTAATTAAGTAAATGGTCATTATTTGAATGCAATTATTTGTCTTTGGTAGGATTGAAAGTCAATTTATTCATGTTTTGAGGTTATGCGATTGAGGTTAGGTTAGAATCAACGAACCAGGTTAGGGTCCAGCACCATGAACATATGCGGAAATGGACGCTCGAAAACAAAATACTTTCCGACTTTACAGCAATGTTTCTTTAATTTTTTCCTCCATTTACTTATCTACGAGTATAAAAGTTTTAAAAAAAGTAAATTTTATTTAATTTTTTACTTACATTTGGTAAATTTATCATTTTACATGATTCTTTACACTTTTTGTCTTTTTTTAAAAACAAAATCATTGTTTTCTTCCTTTGCACTTGTAGCACTGCAACAGTTGAATAGCTCAACCGTTACTGTAACGTTTTGCACGTTTGTTGGGCACACAATAAGGTAGACAACGCAAACGACACTAAACGGGCTTAACCAGTCATGTAACGAGCGCAACAAGTAACGAGCAATTATCGAATCAACGTCGTTTATCAGTGAATATGCCGGCAATGCGCGAGTAATATGCGAGGATGAAAAGTCAATTGGACACGTTCGCTCGTATGCCTTCAGATACTGCATGTTTATGTAAAACTTGAGATGAAACTTGGAATTTCAATTTTTGTAGTAAACTATATCAATTGTTTTATTGACAATAAAAGTTTAATCGCTGTGAATGCCTCGGAGAACTTCAATCTTTGATAACACAACACATTATATCGAAGTTTCATGAATAATAACTTTCATTATACGTTTTTTTTTAATTGTTTATAAAATTATTTATATATTTTTACATATTTTAAGCTTATGTATGTTTATAACTAAAATATTTCAATGAATTTTTAAGAAAATTATTAAAAAATATTTGTCTATGACACATTTCGTAAGCCCCGCCTCCTTATGGCAATTAACATTGGAATATGTTAAAACTCAAATATTTAAATAATAACTTACAGTATTCGTAATAAAAACTAAAATTTATCAAAGAATTTATTTAGATTTACTTATTTTAAGGTTATGTATAGTTATAACCAACAAATTTCCCTATAATTGCAAGAAAATAATTCACATTACTTAAGCTCCGCCTCCTTATGAGAATTAACATAGAAACACCACAAAAATACAATTTTAACCCCCACGGCTAAATAAAAATAAAACCCAACATGTTTACATCAAATTGAATATCTTTTCGAGAGTATGACATGATACATGCGCAGTGCACAACTTCCGGCACTCATAACGATGATATAACATCCTCTAACAATAGGCAACAGGTAATAATAAGTAATGGCGTGCGCTCGATTCGCATTCGACGAGCGGCAATTCAATTAGACTTTCTTCTCAATGCACTATTCACGATTCCCAATACATTATACACACCGGCTACTTTAATTCCCTCGAGTTTTACCTCTCAATCCACCTGTCAAGTTACAGAGTTTCAATATTTGCAATTTTCTCGTATTCGTATTTACATCCGGTTTATTTATTGATTTTCTTCTTTTCTTGTCCTTTAACATTTAACGCATTTTTTATTAACAGTATCATGTTTATTACGATATCATATCAATGAAATAAACATCAGCGTCTACTTAAATTTTATTAGCTGTAATGACACTCAGTATATATCATAATTTGAGGTTATGTAGTGTGGTCGTAATAATAATATGTTATAATACCTGTAACGAATTCTTTTTATTTTATTCGGCGTTATTTTATTATTGCTTTCTCGTGGTTTGTGTTCTTGCCGATTTACGTCTCTTTTTTCTTCTTTTTCTTTTTGTTCATTTGCTGGATATTGGAGTACGCTTTGAATTTATCGCGCTTCTTTTGTTTTGGTTTCCGGTCTTATTTAATATATTTCTTTGCGGAATGCGCAGCTAAGTGAATTTTTTGTACGTGTTTCGCGTGCCAAACATGCGCAATCATCGTTTTAGTTGGATTAAATTACGTACGGTTTTATTTTACGTTTTCAATCAACACATAAGCGTCAACCGAATTTATTATGAGTGTGAAATATTTAAGCTCCGCCTCCTTACGGGAATTAACATAGGAATACTTTAAAACTCAATTATTATTTATTTATTTTGAGTTCCATGGTATTTATTTATCATTAATTATTAGTTTAAAACAGTTTCAAAAACTTACTTGAATAAATTACAGTCAATTCAATCGTGGGACCTAATTAGTCGGCACAATTATATGATGGGTAATAAATTATCTTCTGCGGCATCAGGGAGCTAATTATTAATAAAGTTAAATTAATTAGTGAACACCGCGTGAAACTAAAAAAATTAAAACTTTATTTCCGCGTTCAGTTAAAACTAACGAAAAAATATTAATTTCTTAAATGTTTTTTACTAAGCTCCGCCTCCTTATGGAAATTTACATACAATTAAACTAAAACTCGATTTAATCGCTTCACAAAGTCGATAACAAAATAATTCTTCTTTTATTATATTTTTATACGTAATCAATCATTGACCTCGCGTTTATCTTCATCCATGTACTCTTGTTATTGACCTCAACATCCACACTTATCTCAAAATGTTCTGCATAATATGCATACCAATCCTCAGTTGTTGCCAATTCACAGAATAAAAATGTATCGGTTCAACTGCACTCATCGTGTACTCAGTGCATCCTTGGGGAGGATTTCATCATATCCAGGACACCCCTCGACCTCAACACTAAGCGGCTTAAATCCAAACGTAAACAACGACCTTCTGCACGATAGAGAAGTAAACAACGATTTTGATCGGGATCTCGACTTGGATCTGGACATTGATGAGCATCCTCGGCAGTTTGCGTCGAATAACAATGATATTACTCGTCACGTGCGACCGAAGACCATTGCTTGGAAAGATGCGAAACCTTACGAGATGATTCCAGGACCCAAACCATTTCCTGGTATTGGAAACACATGGAGATTTCTTTGGGGGGAGTTTCAAGGCATGGATCCGTTAGGAATTCAAAAATCGTAAGATTGGTTGCCTACGTGGTGAATAGTTAATATCAGCCATTTTGTTTTTAGGTTATATGATTCTTATGGAACGATTTGTCGATTGACTAATATTGTAGGACGTCCAGACACTGTTTTCATGTTTGATCCAAATTTTATTCATGAAATGTATTGTCAGGAAAATCATTGGCCTATACGAGAGGTTCTTAAAGTAATGACTCACTATCGAAAGGTTTATAAGAAAGATGTCTTCTCTGAAGGAATTGGTCTACCAGTATCGTAAGATTACTTAACCTGAAAAACCTAACCGTAAATTTAAACTCTTCTATTTTTAATTCTCTCTAGTCAAGGAGAAGAATGGGGTAAACTGCGCACTCAAGTTAACCCCATTTTGATGCAACCCAGGATCACTTCCCAATTTATCCCGAAGATAGAATCTGCTGCTCGAGGTTTTATCAGACGAATTGATAACCTTGCCAGAGTAAACCCCTAATGCAAAATGACTTCCTAGATGAAATCCACAAATATACTTTGGAATCCGTGTCTTATGTGTCTATAAACCGAAGATTTGGTCTTATGGATGATGAATTGTCTCCTGAAATTCGCCAAATCATCACAAGTACTGTCAAAGTGTTTGATTTAATCTACGAGTTGGATATGCAGACATCGCTGTGGAAAATCATTCCAACACCAAAATGGCGCGAGTTTATACATCACATGGACTTTCTAACCTAGTATTATCTCTAAAATAACATAACCTAATATTTTTAATGTTTTTAAATGTTTTAGTATGTATATGAAGTTAATTGACGAAGAAATCAACAATTTAATGCAGAAAACTTCGTTCAAATCAGAGGAAGATCGAAGTATATTGCAAAAGTTCTTAGAAGTTGATAAAAATGTGGCCATTACGGTTGTGTTTGATGTCATGGGCGCTGGTGTTGATACCGTGAGTTATTGCATAATCAAAAAGTTACATTAATGTGAGGAACTTGTAACGTTTTTCTTTTCTTCTTTAGACGTCGAAAACTTTGGCTGCACTGTTATATTTAGTCGCGAAACACAAGCGTGTTCAAGAAAAATTACGTAAAGAGCTTTTTGAGATCATTCCCGACATCAATACGCCGCTCACTCCGCAATTACTCAACGAATGCAAGTATCTGAGGGCTGTGATCAAGGAAAGCATCCGGATTCATTGTGTTTCTCTCGGGAACATCCGCACAGCTGATAGGGATCTTATCATTGGTGGATATCAAATTCCAAAAGGAGTAATTTTATTATTTACTGTTAATAAATTAATAAAAACTTGATATAACCTAAAATATTTTTAGGTTGAGTTGGTAGGCGGCCATTTTGTAATGTGTAACTCAGATGAATGGATCCCACGTGCTGCAGAGTTCCTCCCAGAACGATTCTTGCGTGAAGATGCAAATTCGGAATTATCAATGAGGAACTTCGATAAATATTTATATTTGCCTTTCGGAGTTGGTCCACGGTCTTGTATTGGGAAGCGCTTGGCTAATTTAGAGTTAGAAGTTAGCGTTGCAATGGTAGGCAACTTTATATGCTTTTTATTTTTGTTTTTTAGGGTAATTTGTGTTCTATTTTAGATTTTAAGAAAGTTTAGACTGGATTGGCAGCAACCAGACATGCGCTTCCGGTCGACAATCATGTATGGCCTTATCGATCCCTTAAAATTGCATGTGTATCCGCTTGAGGAAGGGGATGAAAAGAAAGTTTGGTATGATGGTGATCTGGATCGGTTGGATTACACCCCGGAGGCATCTATCTAATTATCATATGAATAATAATTCATAAGTCGTCATATGAGCATAAATTTACATAACCATGAAATTATTGATAGTTGGTATCACTGAAAATACAGTTTTAGTTACTTTTCTAGTGTTTTTCTTATCATTTAACCTAAATCACAACTAATTTAATTGTTTTCTTTTTTAATAACTTCAATTAAGGACATATGCACTTTCATTGACCCAATTTCTACTGACCGATGACATTTCTTCATTTATAATCAATTTTTATCAACTTTAATTATTATTAATAGTTCTTTGTAACTATAAAACAAACAAACACAAAACAACCCTTTCATTTATAAAAATGTTACGCACAAGAACAAAACTCTCATCTTTATATCAAAAACAAAATAAAAGTTTCCCAAACAAACGCACAAAATCAACTGCAGCAGCAGTATCGATAGAAAATGGCGTGGATTTTGACTCTCGAACAAACAATGAAGAAAAACGTCGCAGTATCTCCTGGGAGCAAGCCAAACCATTGGAAACAATGCCAGGACCTAAACCTTTACCGATTTTAGGTAATACATGGAGATTTACGCATGGAGAGTTGAAAGGACTGGATCCAGTTGGATTGTATAACAGGTAACCTCAAAACATAACCTAAATAATTAAATTAATCTTAATCTTAATCTAATTAAACTTATTTTTGTAGTTTACATAAAACTTATGGTCCAATATGTCGTCTAACAAATGTAATTGGTATGCCAGACGCTGTTATCATGTTTGATCCGAACGACGTGCGTGATATGTATCGCAATGAAGGAGCATGGCCGGAAAGAAACATTTTGAAGGTTGTCACGCATTATAGAAAAGTTTTGCGTCCCGAGATATTTCAAGATGTTTATGGACTTCCAGTTTCGTGAGTAGATTAATTTATTTATTGATAAAATCAATTGATTATTATTGATTTATAGACAAGGTGAAGAATGGTTTAAATTAAGATCCGCAGTAAATCCTATTTTGTTACAACCAAGAATCAATGAAGAATTTATTCCAAAAATCGAAACAGCAGCTCGTGAATTTGTGAAACGCATTGGAAAACTCGCCGCCATTAACGCCCAAATGCCGGAAAATTTCATTGATGAAGTTAATAAATATACCCTGGAATCTGTGTCTTATGTAGCGATTAATAGAAGATTTGGTAAGTTATAAAACAATATTCTAACCTATATTAATTCAATAACCTTTTTTATTAAAGGTTTATTAAACGATGAGATGTCCGAAGAAACAAAACGGATTATGACGAGCACAGTGCGTGTATTCGAGTTGATTTATGAGTTAGACATGTTGCCGTCTGTGTGGAAGATAATACCAACTCCAAAATGGCGTGAGTACATCCGCCACATGGACTTCTTAACCGGGTAAATCCCAAACATGTGAATTTGGTTGCATATAACGAGTGAGTTGATTTTGTGTTTGTTTTAGAGTTTATATGAAAGTAATCGATCAAGAGGTGCAGCGATTAATGGATACGACTCACTTCGAGTCCGAGGAAGACAAATGCATCCTTCAGAAGTTCCTTTCCGTCGACAAGCGCGTCGCTATCACGGTCGTGTTTGACACTTTGGCCGCCGGCGTCGACACGGTAACTCACTTAAACAAAAACTTTTTGTAACTTTTGCGCTGCGTTTTGCTTTCGGAAACTGACTGCCTAGACTTGTTTGAACGCGTCAACCATATTGATCAAGAGCGGGAGTATTTTATTCATGATATTAACTTTATAAACTTATTACAGGAAATTTAAATAATCTGCTATGGTTAGAACTTTTGAACATTTGCCTTTGTGTCGTTATAATAACTCAGGAATTAAAAATCTCGGAATATTAAATGTGGTATCATTAGAAAGGAAATTTATGGGCGGTTTATTTTGTTATGTGGGCGGAAGTGAAAGTCTGAAATTGCAGTCAATCATATGATTAGTTATAATTCTGAAACAAAAGAAACTCAAGAAACATTTTCAATTAACGCAGTCTGTAAAGTTTACAAAGTGAAAATAATAAGAACTGTGCTAGATATTAAATTATTTACATATAAAAACTGTTAAAAGTTTTTGTTTCGTTACTTAAATGCTTTTAAAACTTCACAAACTCATCTCAATTTATGATGTATTAGCAAATAAGTCTAAAAAATATGTAAATAATTTAATAATGTCATTTTCTCTTCAATTAGACGTCCAAAACAATCGGAGCAATGATCTACCTGCTAGCCAAACACAAACGCGTGCAAAAGAAACTGCGCAAAGAACTGATGGAAGTGTTTCCCGACGAAAACACCCCCATCACGCCAACGCTGCTCAACAAATGCAAATATTTAAAGGCTGTCATCAAGGAGACGTCGCGAGTACACGGAGTAGCCATCGCACAGTTGAGAACTGCATCAAAAGATCACGTCCTAGGTGGATACCGCATTCCCAAAGGAGTAAGTCCCCGATATCATTAAAATGATAAAAAAAGACGTGGGAACATAAAAAGTTTCCAGATTAACACAAAATAACCATTGTTGCCAACTTAAAACTAACCTTAAATATTTATAACCTAGTTTTAAAATATAAATCTTTTTAGGTTGATTTAATTGGAGCACAATGCGTGATGGTTAAATCAGAGCAATATATCAAACGTGCAAAAGAATTCATACCTGAACGCTTCATGCGCGAAAATGCCGAGGATGATTTCTCAATGGCGAATGTTAACAAACACATTTATTTGCCGTTTGGTTTCGGACCAAGATCATGTGTAGGGAAAAGGGTTGCCAACTTAGAGTTAGAAATAAGTTTGGCTTTGGTAAGATATTATAGGCAACCAAATATACACCAAATTATAAATTCATGTTATTTTCAGATATTACGGAAATTCCGACTGGATTGGAATGAACCACCTATGAAATTTAAAGCTACAATCATGTACGGTCTCGCTGACCCTCTCAAAGTACATGTATATCCTGTAGATCAAGGAATCGATGTTGACGATAATGAAGACTTAGATAGGTTAGACTATGCACCAGAGTTGGAATAGAAGAACATTCAGGTTAACTAATATAAATTAAGTAAACATATTTAGGATATTTCATAATAAAAATTAATGTTCTTCATACAACAAATATATACATGTATCTTTAAAGCATAATTATGATCAACTCGATTCGATATTCTGATTTACTAACATCTAAGCAAAAAAGAATGTAAAAGTATGACTAGTATGACCCACCTCTTCACAATTAAGACTTAACAATAATCAAAAGAAATGTAAGCAAAATAACGCTAGCACCCAATGTTAGAATCGCGCACATTTTTCGGTTTTTCCGCTGATACGCATCCGCTTTCTGCAATTGTTTAAAACCCTCGAATACTTGAATCTGACCCTGTTCAACATTATAATCAATCCGATCAAGGATAGTACCTTGATCCGCCACCATCTGACTTAATTCTTTAAAAATCCCATTTAAATCCAGGATTGATTTAACAATACTATTCACTTCTTGTTCTCTCTGCTGTGCCATTCGGGTGTTTTCCTCCTCAAGATACAGCAATTGTTGTTGACTGACACTCGGCGCTTTGGCACGCACAAAATACGCATCAATCTCATCCTCGTCCAGAAGGTTATAATCATCGTCAAGGGCGGGATTGTAAATTTTCGAGCGTTCTTCTCTGGATTGAATCTGTTTAAGATAGGAATTCTGTGTGCCTCTGAATTGCACTGATAAATCTTGTAATGCTGTTGCTAGTGATCGGGTTACATTCACAGCCAGGCGGCGTTCTTTTATTGTTCCTTCCAAAGTATGACTTTTAATATGCTGGATAAGTCTGTGCACCTGATTGAACATGGTTGTGATGTCAGCTGTGCAGTTTTCAATGAGTGTCTCATCTTCAGAGCTCTCATCAAATGTAGGTCGGTGTAAATGTCGGGAATGTAATGCTCTCAGCTCATTTATCTTGGTTTTGAGTTTTGTCAATGTATATTGGGCTTCTTCTAGTTGATCTGTCCACATTGGAGGAATTGTGGAATCATTGTTGTCAGATATGCCTTGTTCAGCATCATTGAGTGCAATTAATTGCATGCGTTCTGTACCATCCTAATAAAATTCACAGGGTAATTAGATTATTAATCGTTTGACTAATTGTAATTAATATATTAGGATACATTTGCATAATTTGAAAGATGTATGACTTTTATTGTAATAAAATTTCCTTACTTGGTTATGATCAGCATATGTGTTCCGATTCCGTATGGCATTATTACGCATCAACATAAACACTTCTGTTAAACTACGGGTCGCCATTCCAGTATATTTTCCACAACGTTTTCACTTTAAAAATTGATAATTTCATTCGGTCATCAATAAATAAACATTTGTTAACTTTTTCGGGGATTGTAGATAGGCAACTTCATATGCACCGAATCAACAGTAATGTTGCCAACCATTGCCAACTAAATGTCATAGCAAGTTCCAAAATTAATTCCCCTACATTCAAGGTCATTAACTTACACTAGTTTACACCGTATTTACATAAAATAATATATTCGTAACAGAATCAGTAAACAATTGGATAGTAACAAAAACAACCGGGCAGATTATAATAATGTATTCCGGTTCAGATTTCGATTTCGAAGCCCAACAGCGGCAGACTGTACTCGAAGGACGAAGGGTTTTAGAACGTACTGGGCAAAGTCTTGCTCGCTCAAACCAGGTTGCAATTGAAACTGAACAAATTGGTACAACCGTTGTTACCGAATTGGGCGAGCAACGTGAAACCTTGCTGCGAGCCAAGAATCGTCTCTCTGAAGCTGATGCCAACCTGGATCAAACCAGAAGTATCCTCAGGAGAATGGGGAGGAATGTTTTGTACAACAAAATGATTTTGATTCTGATAATTGTCTTGGAGATTGGTATTTTGATTGCTGTTACTTTTATCAGGTTCTTTAGGAAGTAGACTTATAGAGGCATTGACTAGTGTCATTTATACCCAAAGACCACCTTAATCTTTATTAATATTTTGTAATTTAGTTAGTTTAAGCTTAAGTTTTAGTAATTATGCATTTATAATGAAATGTGATATAAAATATAAACCTATGAGATACTGTATATGGGTTGTAGTATTTTTATTTTTCTGTACAACATTTTAGATTAGTTATTTGAATCTATCGTTTCGCCGACTTCTTTTGGCTTTCACTCTGTAAAAATATTAATTTACACTAACAGGCAATTGTGTAGCTGCTCATTAGCATTGACAATTTAATTTTTGTTTTATCCTGCATTAATACACTTCAAAATTAATTATTTCATCAGTAACTTTGTAAACAAGAAAGAAATTTCCACTCAAATATAATATTTTACAAGTGCTGCGGCGTATAATGGGTTGCCTATCTAAAACATTCATCTGTATTGTTCTTTAACCTAATAATTGACAGATATTACACGTGCGCATCAGTAATTTAAACAAATCAAGGTATATTTATATTAATTTAACTATATCTCAAGAATTTTCTGCTTTTAATAACTTATTTTATCACTAAAATACATATGATTTATATTTTATAGATGGATGTTGACGCAAATATAAATATCAACACAGACTGCTTTCAACCTAAAAAGGGCAGCAAAAAACGCGCAAATTCACTGGGCGATGATCCCTCATCATCAATGGACACAGAAATCCACAACGGTATTGAAGGCCGCTCCAAATCACGTCCGATTCGCCCCAAACGCGCCCGCACAAACACGGCGTCTGAAACCAAGGAAGATATGCGCAAAATCCCAGTCCCTGCCCACAGATACACTCCATTAAAAGAACATTGGATGAAGATATTCACACCAATTGTAGAACACCTTCAATTACAAGTCAGATTCAACTTACAAACGCGCAACGTCGAAATTAAAATCAGCAAAGAAACGCCCGACATTGGTAATTTACAAAAAGCAGCTGATTTTGTCAAGGCTTTCATTTATGGATTTGAAGTTGATGATGCTTTAGCACTGTTAAGGTTGGATGATTTATTTGTGGAGACCTTTGAGATTAAGGATGTGAAGACACTCAAGGGTGAGCATCAGTCTAGAGCTGTTGGTAGGTTGGCTGGTAAGGGGGCAGGACTAAATTTACAATTGAGAATGTAACAAAAACGAGAATTGTTTTGGCTGATACAAAGATTCACATATTGGGCAGTTATCAGAATATTCAGTTAGCTAGGAGGGCTGTTTGTAATTTGATTATGGGATCACCACCGTCCAAGGTTTATGGACAATTGAGATCTGTGGCGTCCAGGGTTTCACAGAGAGTTTAAATTAATTTAAAATTTGATAAATAATTGAGAAATTAACATAATATGCAGAAATTATGTTTTGATATAATTTTATGCAGGTTTTCTTTAAAATTTATGCTCAAAAATAAAATTTTCATGAAAATTATGTTTGAAAATCACGAATAATCACCAGTTTACTTGACAACTGTAAACAAATCGTGTTTCAAAAAAGTTCAATGAAAAAAAAACAAAGAAAAACAAAAATCATTGCTACACATTTTATTCAATACTATAACAAATCTTCATCAAACATGATTTTACCAAATTCTAAATTCCTAAACTTCTTAATCATTGAATAAGCAGCTGAATTTATATCCGGTTTCAACACATATCCTTCAGTACTTTTAATCTTCAACAATTTCTTTTCAGTTTTAGCAATATGAGCTAAAACTTCTAAAATATTATCACTTGCATCAGACATACCTAAAGCTTTCACATATTTGAACCTTTCATGCTTATTCAGCCAATATAACAAATAATCAGCCATTATTTCAGGCCCTACTAAATGATCCTGAATAGTGTTACACAATGCTAATCTAAGACCACTTTCTGTGTTGTCCACATTAGGACACAAAATGCCAGGTGTATCCAACATGTAAAACAAAGGCTTCTCACACATTTTGATTTTATGCAAAACTGATCTTGTAATTCCAGGACTTGCACCAACTGCTGATGCTCCACTTTTATGTAGATATTTATTCCGTAAGGCATTTGTGAGTGAAGATTTGCCTACATTTGGAATGCCAATTATCATAATGCAGAAGTCCTCTTCATTGGCGCGGTTGTATCTCTCTGAATCGTTAATTAACTTCTGTGCTAATGGAAATACACTTGATACTCCTTTGTCTCTGTGATTTTTGCAGTTTGTGAAGATAACATGTGGAAACTCAGATTTGATTTTGTCTTTGATCAGAGGTATGTGTTTGGATTCAATTGTATCCACCTTGTTTAACACAAGTATATGTGGTTTAATTCCTGAGATTCTGTACTTAAAATCAGCGTTTCGTCCTGAGAATGGCACTCTTGCATCATGAACTTCAATAATGCAGTCAACTGATCGTAGTTTCTGTTGCATTTGTTTCATTCCTTTATTCATATGACCAGGAAACCAATGCAACGTATCTTTTGAAATCGCCTGAAATTTTGAACGAAAGTTAGAGGCAATTTTCACATTATGAGCCATTTTAGAATGTTTTTTATTATAAAACTTTAGTTTTGAGTTTAATTTAGTAAAATACAACTGTTGTATTTTAGGCAACTTAACATACACGATATAATATTGACAGAAAATTAACAGATGTACACTTGTATTATTTTGTTTTTTATTTGTTTAAAACAAAGCTATGATAAGAGTAAAATAAGTTGAATTGAAGTATAAATTAATATGTTCAATAATATTTTGTTGTCTTATTAATCAATATTGATTTTAAATAACTATAGATTAAAATTTTACTTTGGTAAAGCCGGTTTTCCAATGCCTTTGACAGTTCTCAGCTGTGATGATCTCAAAATGGCCGCCGAATGAAATCGCCAGAAGTCGCGATGGTTCATCGGAGTGAGCGCGCTTAATATTGTAAAACTGCGGGAAATTATGCGATTGTTGTCGACTTTGCGTGCATCCAGTGCATCAAGTGTCTCCAACCGATTGTCAACCCTAGGATTAAGCGTACAGGAAGGTATGTTTCTCCTGTCTTCATTCTCAAATTCATTGTTGTGCGAATCCTGCAAATCGCTGCTGTGGTAACCAGCCATTGTTCCAGTCAAACATTTGGTGCATTTCAGTACCCAATACGCAACAAACCCAGACAATTACCCCAATTCATAGTAATCGTAACGTTTTATAACAATCCAGTGCAGGCTGGAATTACTTCCTAATTAAAGCAATAAAAGCAACGATAATGATACTGGCACACTACACACAGCAACAAACACAACACAAACAAGCACATAATAAATACATAAGCAACAAACACAATGTGAGTAGCGCAACGCGACTGATAAGCGTGTTCAGAAGGCAATGGGGTCGAGCATTGTACGAATTTTTAACGAAATATTCGAATATTTAATGCGACACAACGAAAAAATCTTGTGTAAATAGTTATTGTATGGCAATTTGAATAAATGCGATAAAAAAAAGTTGCGCAAAACAGTGTCGCATCAAAAGTTACTGATTAGAAATGTTGATTTGGATAAACGTTTACATTAATAGTTAAATACAGACAGAATCGTCGTTGTAGCTTGTTGCGTTTCTGAATAATTAAACATAAACTTATAGGAGAAATTCAACGGCAAGTTTTATGTAAGACGCGAGTGATTGACATAAGCGTCATGCATAATTTATGTGCTAATCTGATGGGAACTCGCTTGTCGAACGCCGTTTGGTGTTTTTACTTGTTTCAACTGGGATTTTCATTAATAACGCAGTATTAACTCAGCGACAGGTGGATGAATTCACGTATTTTCTAGCGTCTTAGAAAAACAAAATAAAACAACATATTCAATACTTAATTGAATGTGTGAGTGTAATTAATGGTTGACTGGTGGTGTTTGTTGGTAGGAATTGAATGGCCGTGGGTATGTTTCGCCAGCTGCTGCTGATGTCCGGCTTTGGTTGCACCGACGACTGCAGCGGGCGCGGTGAGTGCCACAATGGCACGTGCCTCTGCGAGATTCGCTACGGCGGCGACCGCTGCGATGGGCCCAATCTGCCCTATCACGCCGGCATTGGCGGTGGTTTTCTGCTCATCGCGCTCGTCTGCGCTATTCAGCTCATCATGTGCGTTGTCTCCGAGTATCAGCGGCTCAAGCAGCCCACCTTCCTGAAAGCGTGTCGCGTCACCGTCCAGAAGAGTCTCTACTTTCTCATCTTCTTGGCGACGGTTATCCGCGGCGCATACTTTTTATCACCTGTAAGTTGATTTTCTACTTATTCATTTCCAAAATGGCTGAAATATTATATGCAACCTAATATAGATGTATACTTGGTTGCCTACTTTTTAAATACATATTTTGTATTTTTGCAGGATTCAATAAATTACGGCTGGAGTAATAGTCTCTTCGCATCGTACTACCCACTGCTAATGTCCGGCTCTTCCCTCATCGTCTGTTTCTGGGCCGAGGTGTTTCACTTGAGCGACATTCGCTGGGAGAAACCACAATTTCTCTCAAATCGTTTCTGGGCTTCGTCACTTTCAACATCATCACATATGGTCTGCTGTTGAGTGAAGTGGTGATTACACACTTTGCCGAGCCGCCTCCACATGACCGCAGCTTCTATACGCACATCTTCAATGGTATTTACGCGGTCCTCTTGTTTGTGGTGGTTATATTCTTCCTGATCTACGGCGTGGAGGTTTACTTCAAAGTACGCGGCGCGTTTGTAACGAAACCAGTACAAATCGCTTCACCACTCACAGCCGAAGCGGAACCACTTCGATCCACTGAAGATGTCCGACCTGAGATTAACAATTCTCAGCTGCAACAATCACGAGTGGGACTTCTAAGTATGGCTATGATGCTCATCATTATCTCCGGCTTTCTCTTCTCGGAGACGCTCTCAGAGTTCTGGAAGACAAAGGTACCGGTGGAGTCTCGCAACTGGCACGATATTATCTTCAGAGTGGTGGAGATTGGAGTCGCAGTTTGGTTCCCTGCTGTATTATGGAATAGTATTCAACCGGGAGAGTTGTGGATTTTAAATCCGAAGAAGTTGTTGGCGAAGCTCGAAACAAAGCAATGCGATATCCTCTCGCAGCCGGAGTGCAGCTCGGCGGAGACGGATGCGTTCATTGATAAGGATCGCCGAGAGTGTTGGATCTGTTATGAATCGGAGAAGCAAGAGCCGCTGATTCAGCCGTGCGACTGCACGGGAGATGTCTCCAGCGTGCATCACGAATGCCTGCGCCGGTGGCTGGTGGAGAGTTTGTCGGCGAGCAGCGATAACTTGCGGTGCAAGGTGTGCAACTGCGCGTACGACGTGCGGAGCTCGACTCGTCTGGATTGGGAGCGTGGGTTTACGGCGCACCACTGGGGAAGCACTGCTGTTATCATCACTTGTCTCTGTTTGGGGCTGTCGGTATCTTGGATTGTTATTCAGATGTTCGACGGGTCGTATATACGGATGACAAGCGCCAGCTTTGCTTTGCTTATTATTTACATTTGTGTGAAGTAAGTATATCAGAAAAAAATACAATTTGTAAGTAAAACATAACTTGCTTCGGGTTATTGTGTTCAATTTGCGTGTGTAAAGTTATAATTTATGCACTTGTACGTAAAGTTGGAGTTTTCTTTGTGAAGTGAAGCAATGAGCCATGAAAAAACAATTTTTAATTGAATTTTGTATCAATTTTTTCTATTGATTTATTTGAACATTAACTAAAGTTTGTGGGTACTTAACTATGTGGTATGGACACAAAATGTGTGTGCAGTACTTTTTTGTCATTTAGTTATTTATCAAAGGTAAATAATCATTTTTGACATTTACCTATACTAAAAGTCCACTCATGTCAACTTGAAAGACATCAAAAGTGACTTGTTTATAATAATTTGCAAAAATTTAGTTCAAAATTTACATCTGCAAGCAAAATTGTCACCAAACAAATGTATTATCATAATGTAGCTCATCTGCAGTTTCCAATGATTAAAGAAAATGTTATTTTTTAGATTCTTGGGACAGAACACCGTAAACGCGTATCAACGAGCAAAGGTGGGCGCGTTGAGCATCAGCAATCATGTGTCTACAATCAGCGCGACAGTCAATGTGGACGTGCCAAAAACAGAGCCCGCAGCTCTGTAAACATGGAGAACACGAATCGCCAACTACTGAAACTAACCTTCACTGTATCTTTACTCTTACTTTTACACAAATGGAATGGTAAAAAAGCGAAACGAACGGCGGATAACTAAAATCTACAGCGGAATCTTGTGATATTGATATAAAATTACTAATTTTAGTTTTTAAGTACATACATATACTGCATACAGGCTAATTTTAATTTATACAGGCGTATTTGTTACGTTGCGCGTTTTAAACGAACTTTACCAGTAGCGGACGACGAAACGAATGTAATAATAGGATGTATGATGTACAAAGCGACTTTGTACGTGTACTTAAAGTGTAAAGGGCGTGTTAACATGCAAATCGACGCGAGTTTTTTTAACAAAAGTTTATTTTACTTGATAAGTCAATGAAAAAGAAAGTTTAATGTGTCTCGGAATGTTAAAGACAACAAAGAGTACAATATGTAAATAATCACATACACACATTACATATACTCACATGTATAACTATGTAAGAATTAAAAGAAACCAAGCTCAAAGCTCATTATGAAAAGTATTACAAATACACAAGCATCAACACATGTTTAATCTAATACACACTACAATCGATGTAGATGTTTACGGGGTAATGTAATACTTCAATATTTAGCAAGTCAATCATACAATATTACAATAGCCGAGCAGAAAGTAGATTTAAATCGTTAATATTAAACATATAAAAATGTGTGTGTTTAAGGTACACGTATCTCTGTGTATGCACTTCAAATGTGTAGCCATTTTGATGAGTGCAGCTGTTTTAGCATATTACGGTTTTGATTTAATTCTCCTGCATGCGTAATAAAGCATTATGATAAAGGGAATAGAAATTCAATTCGAAAATATGGTAATTTCTGTACCTACAAACTCCTCTTTATTTATCGGAACTACTTTGTTTGATTAAATATTTATTGCGCTGATTGAAAGACACCCTTTTGACGCATCTCTTCGAAATCTTTTTCGATATCGTAATTCCTAAAACATTACACGAAATTTTAAAAAATGTTCAAGATTAATGTAAATATCTTACATGTAAAAGTTTTTGTATGTCTCCTTGCGCTTATCACCAAGAAGAACACGCGTGGCAATGCCAACTGAGATGGTGAGTCCGATGGCGATGGATAAATGTGTGCGAATTCTTTTGTGCAACAAGCCACGCATCACCGGCTTCGCTATCTTCTCAGCGGACATTTTGAATTCTCTAGAAACACAGTAACTGCGCCGTTAATCATGTAATAATGTGTCTAACTCACATATTACCCAATTACCTTTAGATAATTAATCCTGTAATCGATAACACTCAAATTATCGCGTTCACGCGCTGCACGAACCGCTCCCCAACGAATCGAAATTGAACTGATATAATATTTACAAAAGCACTCGGAACTTGAGCCGGAAAGTCGAAACCGACGTCATGTGATCAAATTTATGCGACGCGCCAGATATCTATCTCCTCTATGATCAAGTTTATGTCTAAATCGATAAAATGTGCATGGGGAGAATAGGTGAATCGGTCGGCGGTGGCGGACGTAATGTGCGATAAATGCTTGTTTAAATATGTCATAAACTTTGACGAGCGCAGTGACTAAAAATACCCACGATTCGCAGTAAAATAATGAACCGCGAAGTTTTCCTGTGGTGAGAACATTCATTTGTTTATTGCACATTGCTAATTCGTTAAGTAAGTTTTAGAATATTGCGACTTAATAATAAAATTCGATGGATTAAAAGGTGTATATCGGAATAATGTAAGTTTTGAAGTATTTTCGAGTGATTTGAGGCTTCAAACGTCGATATATTTTTGGGATTGAGGTAAATCAAAGATAAAACTGTGAGCATAACACAAATATTGATATTAGGATACAACTGTGCAAACATACCGAGGAAAACTTGTTCAGTTGAGATTGAGAATACCATGAATTCGCGTTTAGAAACTAAAACTCAGTATTAACTAGAAATGATTCAAAATTTCATAGTTGTACAGTGAGTTAAATTCGTGAGTATTTAACTCTGGCCACATTTGGAAATAGAAAAATAATTGATTCCTCATTCTTAAGATAATTAATATTTCAAAATGTCTGTATAAATTACTCTTTTTAGTGAAGTCTTCGGTGCAATGATTATTCTATTCTGGAAAATGAAGAAGAATTCGATTTATAACTTTCCTCGGGATTTTTTGGGTGAGTGATAACAAATTTGAAATTTCGATGTCTAAATTCAGAAGTTTTGTTAAAACTAATTTATATTATAGTTTTCCTGCTTAACTTTAATATCAATGCATCCATTACTATTATCTAATGCTTTTGAAAATGAAATTTAAATTTTCAAACACTAATGACCTAATTAGAGATAAATAATAAAATACATACATTACTTCCTCAGTTCCCCAATCAAGAAACCTTCCTCTTCAGGATAAAGGATGAAGGATAACAGGACTTCACCATGATAATTCCATTCAGGTATGTTTTGTGGAAAATTTTCATAATGTTGACCTTGACTTTTTGAACTTTTTATTACATCTAACTTCAATTACCTATACATTTAATCTTGTTAACACATTTTGGTGACTTTTCACTTACAAGAATCAAACAAACCCTTTGCCCTCATTTCCTCAAATTCTTTATCAATATTGTAGGTTCTGAAAAAAGCATAAATGTATAAGTTAAAAGTATACCTTAGATTAAATCTTAATAAATTAAAATATGTCATGTATATGTATAAATCTAAAATTAATAGTCATTTTCTTACTTGTAGAAGTTTGCATAGGTGGCTTTTCGAGGTTCATTCAAAAGCATCTTCTGGGCAATACCAGCAGCAATGCAGAGACCAATGGCAATGCTGAGATTCTTTGTAATCTGCTTGTGGAGCAATCCACGGAGTACGGGCTTGGCGGCGGACATCTGTACAAAACAGGCATAAAAACAACGAAATTATTAATTTTACCTGATTAGATCATATGTTTAAAGGTATGCAACCAATTATACAGCACGAACATAATTCACAATAACAGAATCCTCTGTAAAATTACGCTTATATTCACTTTCTGTAGCATTCACTAATTTATTCCTTACTATTTTTAGGTGATTTATTTACTTTAATCCAAAGGAAATTTCCCTCGGAATTTAATATCGGACTTCACACTGAAGGTTATTACATAATGCAAGAAATTATGGAAAGTGTTAACAACAATGATTGCTAGTTGTTTAAAATAGGCTTGATGGCACGATTAAGGAGTTTGATTCCGCACAAAGGGTTGCGACAGTTACCTTTGCTTCTGGATTAATTAATTAAATAATTTCGGCGAGCAAGTCGGTCCGTCAGTCGATACTGGATTTGTTGTCAGTTTCTAGAAGATGGCCGCAAGCTACTGAACTTCCGGTCTAACGGAACTACTTCCAAGTCAAAACAGCATCGTAAAATTAAAGTTAAATTAATTTTATTCTGCATGTCAGACGTTTGTAATCGCAGAGGCTGATATATAAATTCAAAACAAGTTAATGTGTATAGTTTTGTAACAATAAAATATTTTCGTTGATGTTGGTTTTCATTTGTTTGGGTTTAAGGTGCGCTGTCAAAAATGACACTGCGAATCTTATTTCTGCAAGATTTTAATGATAATATATTAGATTTATACATGTATACTACGATTTGAAAGTGATTTCTGATTGTTTATCACTTTTAGCATGGTTTTGATATACTTTAACTAGTTTCCGCATGTTTGCAAGTGTATTTTGCGTTGTAATTTTGAATTTGGCGCCATTAGCGGCCGTCCCAGAATGCACTGCGCGCCGTATCGTCGTGACCATCGCGCATCTCTGGGTGCGCTTTCCGAATGGCGTCCAGTTGTTATTGTTGCGAGCGTACGAACGAATTGCGAGGAGAAATTATGCGCGTTTCTGGTGCGTTCGGTGCGTGCGATCTCATCCAGTAGGGTGGCCCGTGAACGCCGAGAGTGCGCGTGCCGGATCGTCTCGTGCGCGCCCGCATCTGCCGTTTGTGTTCGAAAAGTGTGTCACGTAAAATGGGGTACGTAGTGCTGCAGCCGTGCTGCTGGCCGCCAGCGCGATCCGTCCGCTGCGATTCGCGCCTGCAGCGCTCCCGCTGAACCGGCGGCGAGCGTTAGCCACCTTCGGGCGGCACGGACGCGTCCTCGGTCGACCATAGCGTCCGCCACGGATCTCGCAGTGCACCCGCCTAGCCCGCTATTGACAATGGAACACATGGAAAAATTCACTCCCCCGTCTAGCCACACAAGATGGCTGCGGTGCCGTCTGGCCTAGCAGCGCTGATCAGATCTTTGATTCGTGGTTACCGCTGAATACGCTTCCAATGAAACCGCGCGTTGAGAGTGTTGTGTGTGTCAAATGTGTGGCGCCAGCGGGGGCGGGCGGGATCCGCGACGGCGACGTTGTCCATTGATATAACCCTTCAGTTTTTTGCACCCGGACCAGCCGACCGTCAACAAAACCACTTGGATATATTAATGTGCATCATTTTAATTAGTGCTGATCTCGAGTGTTTCTGTTGATTGTTTGTGGTTGGGAAGAGTGGTAACTGAACGTGTGCGTTTTTTTGTGTGTTATAGATGGCCGCAGATAGCGCAGGTGGCACTGTAACGACAGTGGTGACCTGTGAGGGCGATCTGCACAGCCCGTCGTTCCGCGCGCACTTCGGCGCGACGCTCGCGCAGCTGGAGGGCCTCTTGGGTGAGCCGGTGACCGTCCGCAAGCTGGAGCCGTGGAATTCGGTGCGCGTAACGCTGTCCATTCCGCGGGAAGCAGCGTTGCGGCTCCGGCAGCTCGCCAACGATGGCAACCAACGGCTGCGCGCCCTCGGCATCCTTAGCGTGCAGGTCGAGGGCGATCAGGTCATCTCCCTTCGGCTAGCCGCCACCGCGGCCACCAGCGAGCAAGAGATACTCCTACGCACCACCCCTCAAGGTATGCAAAATTGCTTTCTTAAATTATTTGAATGCTGTGATGGGGTTTGTTTTAGATGGAGCAACATCAAGTACAAGCACTAGCACAAGTGCAGGGCTTTCACAGCTCTTATCCATGCCTAGTGCGACCGCAGCAGCTGAAGCAGTGGCGGTGCCTACGGTGCTCCCGCCACCAGCTACGGCAGCGGCTAGCGTTGCCGTCGCGCAGCATCATCCAGAAAAAGTGCAATTCCGTTCGCCGAATGTCATATGCCCGGCGGACGGCATCGTGCCGAAGGTGGCTGCCACCGCGAAGAGTGCGGCGGGACCATTTCCGTTCACAAGTATGAATCAGGCGATCCACACGAGTACAAACCACAACGGCACGCCGGCGCCCGTATCTGTCAGTGGTGCCGGTGTCCCCAGCAGCAGCGGCAGCTATGCGACTCCACCGCCGCCTTATCCCGGCAAGCATCCGCCTGTCACGCTCTCCAATCCGCTACTCGTCAACCTGCTGCAGAACGAGGGCGGTGAACAGAGGCCGGCGGTCGCGATGCCCAAAGCGACGGCGCCCGCTCCTGTGCGTGTAAACAATGTGCCTGTGCCGAGCGCGAGCAGTAACTCGAAAGTGACGAACGTGAACGTTCAAGTGCAGCAGGTGCATGTGCAGCAAGTGCAAGTGCAGCAAGTCAAACCCACCAGAAATCCTGTGCCTTACAACTTCTACCCGCCGCCGTATCCCAGCGCCACCACGACGACGACGGCGGCGGCGGCGGTGGTGACCCAGCAACAGCGATGGGAGCCGCCGCCGACTGCGCCGCAGCTGCAGGACCTCACCGCCACGCTGACTGACTTCAAGCAGACCGACCTCGACTTTCTGCTGCCGAACATCACGGCCAGTCCGCTTCTGGATCTTCCCGACGTGCTTAATGAGAATCGCACCGTACTCCTCATCAATCCGCTGACGGGCGAGCTCGAGCCGCAACTCGGCGACGAGAGCGACGAAGAGTTTCGTGACGTTTTTACAGGTAAGATATTATCGATATTCCATTGGTTACCATGCTAATTTGATACATTTTAGGTTTACCAATGTCTCCGGTTCACTTTTCCGACGAAGACACGAATTCAACAATACGCCCTGACACGACGGACCAAAGCGATTCCGAGAGCCGCTCTGGTCACAGCGACAGCAGCAAACATTCAAAGGCGGCGAAAACCCGGACGCGCGAAAAGGCGGTCGGGATTCACCTTCCGCCAAACAACATTCAACGGCACCTACGGAGAAGATCAAGCTGCGACTCAAGCTGGAGAAATCCGAACCAGTCAACGCCGTTTATAAAGCGGACGTTAGTTTTGTTAACGCCACACTCCCGAAGAAGGCGGTGGCTATCAATGTTACGACGACGGCGACCACTCCGTCAACGACACCAACACCAGTGTCGGGAGAAGAGCCGCGCGTGCCGCCATTGCACATCTCGCTTAGAGGGCGGCCGCTTGTCATAAGCAGCAAGAAGAAACTCAAATTAGCTGCTGACGGCGCCGCTGCTGCCAAAACAAAGCCGAAGAAGACGCTCGACTATAACAACAGCAAGCTGAAGCGGGATCGTGCTGTTCTGGAACCCTCCAGTCCAGAAGACCGCAAACTGAAGGCACCTAAGCTTATCGCGGACGTCGACACCGCTGAGCTTATATACAACAACCACTTGCAATTACACAAGGACAAGTTGAAGGAGCGTCGTGGTAGCGACTCTGAACTGACGCGTAACAACAAGAAGTACGCCGAGACAAACGGCACTGAACGGCGGCTGAGTCAAAGCGACGATGGTTACGATCCCGAAGCGGTGCTTGGCTCGACTAACGTCGGAACCGTCGCCGCCATCAACAAGATTCGTAACAAGGACAAGTTTAAATTGAAGGAGAACTTTAAGAATAAGGACTTGAATCGGTTCAAGGGGTATATTAACAGCGATAAGAAGACGGTGGCACTGCCGACGTTGCCTACAAACGATATTGACATGGAGGCGCGGTTCAAGGAGCGCCTGTTGAAGGTAGACGAGGTGGAGGACAAGGCGAAGGTGGAGGAGCTGATACAAACGCTCGAGGATCAGCCGGCGAATGTCAAGGACAAACCACCCGAAGCGGATAAATGCAACACGCCAGACCGGACGATAACCGCGGGTAAAGACCTGCAGGATAAGCAACCGAACCGATCACCTAACTCGGGAGCGCAGGGTGAAGATAGCGGCATTGAGAGCATGGATGCGTTAAGCGAGAAAAGCCCGAATCAGGCGAGTCAAAGCCCGCATGGGGGCGTCGATGATGCCAAGTCATGCGGCGGGCACAAGACGCAAGTGCCTGATATGTTGGACATCGAGGCGCAGTTGGCGAAGATGGAGGGCATGCACGACACGCATGAGGACCCAGTGGTAGAGCCCGAAGGAGAGCAGGAGGATCTCAATGAGAATCATCGCGGCGCGCAGAAGCGAGAGCAGTGCTGTGTCTTAGCTGCGGTCACCACGACAGTGGCGACTGTGAAGGAGGAAGTGCAGGTGAAGACGGGCCCGGAGATGGAACCACTGCGTGTTAGCCCGCCCCTTTATACGTACTCGAATCCAGAGAAGCGAGGCGATAAGAGCCTTCTGGAGCAGCTGCTCATCGAGATTCCTGAGGGGCAGACGCCCAGCTCGCCCTCGCCGGCAACGCGTTCAGTGCGGACGCGCGCAGCGAGCAAACTCAACAGCCCGGAGATTTCCCTCAACTCGCCGGTGGTAAATAACATCGCGACAAACTGCACGACTTCCAACGTAACGACCGCTACTGTGAATAGCACCAAGCTGCGGACAACGCCGACGGGGAAGCGAAAAAGGCACGAGTCAGACAGCTCCACCAATAGTCTCACTTTGGACGGTGCGGAAGGCCAACGCGTGAAGAAACCGCGGAAATCGAGCGAGAACGCTGTCGAGTTGATTAAAGCATGCGTGGACGGCAAGACGACGGCAGCGGTCGCGGTGGCGAACAACGCGAATAATGGCAATAGTGCTGCGGCAGCGACGGCAAACTCCAATGCGAAGAAGAACTCGCTGGAGGAAAGCTCGGATAGCGACGAGCCACTGATTGAAGTCGCTGGGAAAGTACGCAAGAACACCAGTGCCACCACCACACCAAGGGCAGTCAAAGTCAAGAACGCTGCTGCTAATGCCAACGCTGCCGTTGCGGTTGGGATTACTACGCCGGGGAACAAGGCAAATGTTAATACCCGGAGGTCGGTCAGGGCTATACCTGTTATCAACACCAGGAGCAAGGGGGACAAGAGCAATCCTGAGGGAGATGTCATAAGAAGGAAAACACGAAGTGCCGGTAAGCATTAGTTCTATTTAACATTTTTTAATAAAAAGTTTTTTTGTTGATTAAATTTTGTTTTTGTTTGTGTTTTAGTATCCGAAGGTGAAGGTAAAAGAAGAAAAGATATCAAGTGACAGTGCCAGGTGGGCCGCGCCGCTGAGTGCGTGGAGGTGGCCGACATCGAGCGGCCGCCCCTCGCCGGCGACGGCCCGCTGCTGACAGCGAGCGCCGGCGCGCCCGCCGACCACCATCGCCTCTTCTACCACCAGCTGCAGGAGGAGTTGGAGGAGCTGCTCGCGGCCGACCGCGGCGGCGGCGCGGAAGTACAAACACACATACCCGCTGACACTGTATAGATTGTGATATACTGTACATAGGTAGGTAATTGTAAATAGTAATTCTACTGAGAACACGACAAAACAACAAACTACAGCGGTAGCCACCGACATCCGACATGTAGGAGCGAGTAAACCACACAAACACTTGTACACACACCCACACACTCAACAAACAAAACAAACAAAAAAGTGCCCCTCAAGAATTATACATAAATGTAATAATAATGCGCAGTGTGCCGTCGTTGCTGTGACTGTGAAGTAACAAACAAACAAACAAACGCAAACAGAAGTCATGTTACAATAAATAATTTGGATCATTTGTGTTGTACGGCCGATCGCAATAGTTAATCGTGTGCACCGTTTGATTTAGGTAACGAATTTGTTTTCTGCAACACTTTGCGCGGTATTTTTGATCAACCATTTATAAACAATCCGAAAATAATTGAACACACAGCAGAGCAGTAAATGCGACAGTTAGTATATGTACATATTGCATAAAATATTATTCTTTACTACTCTATAAATATATAAATAATATATATATTATATATATATTATAAATGAAGAAATTATATATAAACGAGAAATGATTATATATTATGATAAAGTATGATTTTTGCATTTTACGTGGATGAATTTACTATTGTACACACAAACATGGCGAGAAAGAGACACCATTTTACTCGGAAGCGTACATCGTCGTTTTTCCTTTGTTTATACAAGCCCCGCCCGCACTACTACCCTCTCACGATCGCCCCCGCCCTCTGATCCCGACATGGGCGTATGCCTGCCCCCCTCATCCGTAACACGAGCGTTAAATAATTATAAATATGAAGATGATCATGCGAACTGTATATTTTTTTATATAATTGATAAATATTTGTAAAAGTGTAAACGTTGTTGACATATTTGTTTATATTGTACTTTTTTCTCTTCGTTCTAGCTTTTATTCTTAGTTAGTTATTGTATTATTATCGATTTCTTTCTCCGAGGAGAGCGAAAGACGCCCTCACCCACACTTGCACACACCCTCACGCATTAATTATTTATTTATTTGTGATTTGTGACACGAACGAGAGCGAGAGAGGATTTTGTTATATGTTAGTCAAACTAAAGCTGATTTAATCAAGGTGTTTATACGCGAGCGATGTAATTTGTAAACGAACCTAAACTTAAATAACGGAAACAAGAAATAAAAAAAATTGCGGTGATTTGCATTCGGCGGCGTCGCGAATGCGATCAGGAAATATGCCTTCTTTCTACAATGTAAATTTTTAAATGATGAACAAGATACGAACGACTCAAGCCACCTACCAAACAAAGCGAGCACAAGCTGATAAAAAATGTCTCATTCTAAAGTAATCTATGTGTAATACTGAATACCAAAAAGCAGTTCGTAATGAATTAACTTAAATATGTAAAAGAAAATGAAGCAAAAAATAAAAACTCCAAAAGACTTTGTAAGCGGAACATATGTATATGTGCGGTGCAGCAAATGCAACAAATCACAAATGATGAATGAACATATTGTACATTTTTATTTTAAATTCACGATTTCTTTTTTTGTAAATGTTGTGGTAATGTCGAGAAAGAGTGCATTGATGAAATCAACCAATCAAAAGAAAAAACAAAGCGCCGCTGAGCGAAGAGTGAACAGATTTACGATAAAGGTAGAACGAGAGCAATGAAGGAATTTGTAATATAATTATGTTTCTTTTCGATTTTACATTATCGTTTTTATGATTCGACGTAGATGATTGTTTTTTTTTTCTTTTTGTTCGTTCGACGATGATGATAATGAAAGTGAAGCAAAACAAAACAACAACACTTTACAAAAGCGATGATGACTATTTCTTAATTGTAGATTTTTGTGGAAAGGTTGATGAAATAAGCTATATATTGTTAAATAGAAAATAATCTTAATATATTTCGTGTGTTTGTTCGAAAACTTGACGAAAACGTATCAACCAAACCAAACAAATCCCAGAAAGTTTTTCGTTTGTTTATTTCTATAGTATTGCGCATGCGCTGCTTACAAAACAACGCTCCTCAAAACAATATCGCCAATCACGTAAATAAAATCCCCCAAAATCTTTAATAATCAATCAATATTTGTTGCCATGACGATGAAACGACCAAACAAAACATTTTAACCTCTTCTACAAGTTTTGTAGTATTTCTTGCAATTGTTTACAATATTTTAAACAATGACAACTTCTACACCACGCCAAATGGACCCAAACATTATCTGTTTGGGTCCTACAGGTTCCGGAAAAACTTTGCTTTTAAGAAAACTGCAAAATGAAAATTCCGTGGATAACACAACAACTTCCGTACCAACAGTCGGGACGGATATCGTCCTGATAAAATGGAAGCGCAAAGTGGGCGAAAACGGCACCGAAGTTGAATCCGAAACAAAAATTCGTGAACTTGGTGGAACAATGGCGCCCCTATGGTCCAAATATCTACACGGCGTAACTAAACTTCTCTATGTTGTTGATACGTCGAATTTGTGCCAGATTTCCGCTGCTGGAGTGTTACTCTACACGATGTTATCCCATCCAGGACTACAAAAGACTAAAGTAACTATAAATATACCCTAAAATAGTAAATCGTAAGTTTGAATGTGTTTTGGTATCAAGTTTTTGTTAGTGCTTACCAAAATGGACGTCAGTTATCGGCAGATGCGTAACGAGGCGCTGTTGATGCTGCAAATGACGCGGCTGCGTAGTGAGATAACGCAAAATGTGCGTATCGTCGAGGCAAGCGCTATCGACGGCGAGGGACGCGTTGAAATTTTACAATGGTTATTCAGCAAGTAAAACTTTCTCTGCTTTCTATACGAATCTATACGGGAGCCATTTTTTGTGTGCAACCAACCGAACACTACCAAATAAAATAAGATAAGTGCGAGGTAAGCGGAAAGAAAGCATAAAATTAACACTTTTTGTGGTCTTTTAAAACTAATATAAAAGGTGCAAGCGTTTAACAAATGCCAGTTATATATTTAACTGGTTCTTGTATAGTCAATAATAGACTTTAATAGTTTCAATTGTAATAATAATAATTGTCATTGAGTATTATAATGTTTCGAGCTTTGTTCACACTTTTCTGCTTAGTGGTTGCGTTTTTGAGTTTTTCCTACGCGAAAGCCATCTATGAAGATTCTCAAGCAGCTGCATCAGGCGGAGGTAAGATATTTTAAAATGTTTTGTTGAGTTGTTTAATTTCTGATTCTTTTATTGTAACTAGATCATCATGGACGCGTGCAAATTAAAGTTTATCGCGGTCCCTCCGATCATGAAGAGCATGGCCACGCTCCTTGGGGATATTGGGTAAAACAACCCGCTGATGATGACCACTAGATGCTGTGTCCTGCTAACCTAATCTTAATACTTTTAAACTGTCTAAATGATTCTATTATTAAATGTGGGTAATTTTATACTTTTAGAATAAAATTCTTCGATTTTAAAACATTTTTTATTATTTCTCAATTCCAGAGGTTTAATTTATTTATCTTTTCAGCTAGCATTTTGTGTAAAACAGCGCCAAAGGTTTTTAACATTAAATTGCCACTTTTTAAAATAAGCGGCAACTAGATCTTCTGTTGGTCAAAGTCGAACTATGTTTCAGAATTGTTTTCGGCTGAAAGGCAGGTCTGTATTATTATATTATTATTTTTTAAATTGTTTCTGCTCGAAAGACAGGGTCGAACTTTTTTTTAATTGGTAAATCAGATATGTTATGATTTTAATTAAGATGCTAATAAAGATTTTACTATTTTTTTTTGTCTTCCGCTTGACAATTGACAGTTTTATTACCCGGATAAAAGTGTTTTGAATTATTTTAAATTTTGACGAAGTTTGTAAAATCCTGCGAAGATCCATAAAAATATATCAACCTCTTCATACATTCTGTGATCCTGATACAAAGTTGCATCGAAACTTGTGTCGAAACACTTATACAATTTGCACATTTTAATTTCAACCTAATGTTGTGAATACTGTCTAAATTATCGGTCTGATAACAAAATTCTACTAAGATACATTGCTCAAAATAATGCTTTCTTCTAGTTTCTGCAATAAACAAGTTAATTTTAAAATTTTTATTTTCTGCTTAAGAAAGGACGGAGAAAATGTATATTCCAGGTTATTGCAGTTTTTTCGCAAACTAACAATGGTAAAGGAAAATGGTTTTCAGTTTCGTATGCAGGGCATAATTCTACATTATGTAGCACTTTAAAAAATGCAATTATCAACAATTACGTAATAAATGAAAATGGCCAATAGCTCGTAAACTAATTACGTCATCGAAACCAAACCAGGATTAATGGATTCCTTGCATCATTCTACATCCCTATAGAAAGTTTCGTGAAAATCGGAGGGGTGGTTTAATATGGTGTGTTTCGATTTTCACCAAGTATTTTGAAAATATTGATGTTATCGGAAAACTGACTCGATATATTTCATCCCCTGGGAAAACTGAACCGATTGGCGTTTTTGATTTTTCTCTAGCGTAAAAAAATATTTTTGGGCCACAAAAGAGTCAAGTGTAACCTCTTGACTATTTTCAAGCACTTTTTGATCAACTTTCAAAAATGGAAAAACTAAATCTGCCATTTTATAGATCTCTATCACCGCATGAATAATCTGAAGAAAGTTCTTTTTTAACTTTAGTACTTTTCGAGAAAGTTGAGTCGGAAAATTTAAAAAACACCTTTTATATTTAAAATTTTTTAATGTTATCCCATCTAGAATTTGATGCTAAGCATCACAGTGTTTTTGGTATTTAGTTATCTCAATTAGTTTCGGAGATAATGGGAATTTAAGTCTCGCTGGAAGTAGACATTTTACTTAAAGCCATCTTCAGAGAATACTCGTAATGATTTTAAATAAAAAGTTGTATATATTGCTTAATTAAAAGTCTTTCTACACAATGATGTTACTAGTTTTTAATTAATATTTGAAATACTAATTATAATGTCAGGCGCCTCCGCCAAATTTATATTAATTAATAATATTGCACAAGAAATAAAAAAAAACAGTTTTTTAATACGTATTATCACAGAGGACAATTTTATAAAGCGTTTATTTTAATACAAAATTTTAAAAAGATACCGGACAATGTACTGTTTAAAGTTATATTCGTTATATGTAATCTTTAAAACCCAATAGGGCCTAAACAAAACAAAATAGACAGAAATTTTACTAAGATTTATTGTTCCGAATTATTAGTATAATTAGAATCCGCAATCAGAAATTCAAAATTCCAACTTTAAATTTTGAACAAAAAAAAGTGAAAAGTTTTGCAATTTTTATGACAAAATCTTTTCGTTAAATTTTTTATACCATTTTGGTTGTTTTACAAGAAGTATGCCATCTTGTAGAGAATTTTTCAAGGATCAAGAATATGAAGTCCTTTGCTTTCTAGCCCTTTTAGTTCTCGAGATAATTAACATTTAATCTTTAAAAAAAAATTTGGAGGAGGCGCGTTTCCACAGTTTTGACCAGAATTTATTTTCAAATAGTTCGACCCTGTTCTTTGAGCGAAAATATTTTAATAAAAATGTTCGACCCTGTTCTTCGACCGAAAAAAATTTTATAAAAAAAGTTTGACCCTGTTCTCCGGTCAAAAAAATTAAAAAAAAAAGTTCGACCCTGTTCTTCGATCGAAAACATTTTAATAAAAAAGTTTGACCTTGTTCTTCGGCCGAGATACATGGCGTTTTCCGCATCGTGTCATCAAATTCTACTAAAAATGCTAAGTTTTGAGGGCCATTTTAGAGCACTTTCAAAGCTGTTAGAGAGTTAAAAGGATATACATAAGTTAAAGGATCTGAAGGACTATATTATGACGGTGAAAAACTAAAGAAAAGTTAATTAGTTTACGAGATACAAGGCGTTTTCCGCAGCGTGTTTTTCAATTTTATGAAAAATGCTAAGTTTTGAGGGCCATTTTTGGGCACTTCCAATGGTGTTAGAGGGTTAGAAAAGCACACATAGGATAGAGGATGTCAGGAACTATATTATGACGGTTAAAAACTGAAAAAAAGTTAATTAGTTTACGAGATACAGGGCGTTTTCCGCAGCGTATTTTTAAATTTTATGAAAAATGCTAAGTTTTGAGGGCATTTTTAGGGCACTTTTAAAGGGGGTAGAGGGTTAAAAGGGTACCCATAAGGTAAATGATCTCAGAAACTATATTATGACGGTTAAAAACTGAAGAAAAGTTAATTAATTTACGAGATACAGCGCGTTTTCCGCAGCGTTTTTAAATTTTAATAAAAATGCTACGTTTTGAGGGCCATTTTAGGGCACTTCTATAGGGGGTAAAGGGATGAAAGAGATTGCATAAACAACACAAAATTTAACGTAAAACAAAATATTAAAATGTTGATGATTTGGTTTTAGCATTTTATTCTAAATTCAACAAATGCAAGTACAAACATCTCATAAGATCCACAATAAAAAACGTTTCTATTTCAAATTAATGTATGCCGCTGTTTAAGCTTCCACGAACTTCGCTTATTTTTTTCATCGGAAGAAGATTCAGAAAGAACAAGAGGTGGATAAAGCAGATCTAAGTTCTGCCGTGGACGTGGCGGTTTGTGAACAAATACCGGTTGTTGGGGGTACTTTAAAACTCGCTTAATCTTCAATATTGGTAAACCACTCTTGGATGTACCAGATTGCTGGCATGTCCAAGTACAATTTGCATCATTATCCCTAGGATTATTAATTGGAACATACGGATCATTAACATGCTCATAGCCTGGCTCTTTTTTAATTTCATAATATGGGATTGGTACGAATCCGGGTGACATGTTTTCCCAGGATTGAAAACCGCGGTTCTCACTTTTGCACTCAATATACGCATCCTCATCGTATTCTTGTTTGATCATTTTGGCGTTCTCCTCGTACAGTTCCTGTTCAATTTGTTGCTTCCTTCTTTGAAGTTTTTCTTGCCTTCTAACAGCACGGTCGATGCGTCGCCTCTCTCTGGAACGCTGTGTCCTGCGTATAGACAAAACCAAATCTTTGATTTTATTATGCAACTGCTTTAATTCTCTAATTTCATCGTCGTCGCTGTTTTCTGCAATAAGTCGCTTGGGGCGGCCTTTTTGACCAAGCTTTTTATGCAAACTCAATTTAGCAACAGCTTTATTCATGACTCGCACCTAACGTAAAGAAATTATTTGTTGTTAAGTTAGTAAATATCAAGTTGGAAGAAAACTTACAATATTCAAAAATTATATCAGGACGTTCACAAGTTAACGAAGTTTACTTGTGTTTGACACCTTGTATTATGCTAAAAAGTACGAAAATCATAAACAAGAAAACAAAAACAAAACAAACAAGCAAAGCCGCTTTGATTTTATATGAACGTAAGCCCTTCATTTTAAAAATTAAAAAGAAAACTTAGATCATAGAAAGTTGCCTAACTTTTTGATTTAATTTTTTATGGTAGCCATTGTTTTATCTTCTTAATTTAGTGGACAAAGCATTAATAATGTTATAAATGTGCAATATTAACAGAAATTTTTGTAAAATTGGAATTAATTTGCAATTAATGTGCATAGTTTTGATTTTTGCAACACAAGTGACAAATTTTTGTATTTTCAAAAGTTAGACACCTAATAATCAGCCGACAGATATAATATTCTTGACCCGTGAGTTTAAAAGTTGCTTCTTTGCTTTTCTTCCAACAAATTCATCACAAATCCATCCCACTACTAAAAATACTCAAAATTGATGTAACGGACAACAGGAAACAGTATAAAGAATTAGACAACATAAATCTATAATAGTTTTCTATTCTCATCCACTTCAGTTCTTTGTTTTTCGTATATATAAAAGTAAGATATTTAACTTGCAACTTGTAATATATATTATGTATATAAATAAGTATCTATGCACGCTGCAGCAGTGAAAATGATATTACTGCTTGTTGACCTCACACGACAAGTGATCTATAACAACGATCTAATTCACGATACAAGTTCAACGATCAAGACAAAGATAATATTTCAGGACGGAAGTCATTGTAAATTTTGTTTCAGGTTTTAAATTCGATAGATACAAAGCTGCCAGTTGATTAAATTTCAAGTACAATATTCGAGATGCTCATCATTTCATTCTTCAGTATAAGTGTGTGTAAATTTGGTGTTCACTGTTTTTCCTCCAGGCACATTGGTAGTATTGGTAGTCTTCGTCCACTGTAAGCTCGATGATTTCCTTCGCCCACCAATGCCAACATTACGTTAATCATAATAAAAATGTATGTACAACAATTAATGCATAGAATTAATAATAAAATCGATAAAAAATAGCTTGTAAACATTAAGTACAATTATATATCATAGAACGCAACGCAACAAATAATATACCTATAAAAGTAAAAATGCTTGATGAAACAATAAATATAATACGGCCTATGTTCCTCAAAATCATCATAAATCATGTTTTAAGTAGTGATATTTGATATTAAGTATTCGAAAATGCACCATTGAGCTCACAAATAACAAGAGTTATTTGTTTGCCGGTGCAAAGCAATAGCTTTCTTTAGTATAGTTTAGTTTAAAATGCTTTAAAATGTTATAAAAACCGGAAATGGAATGTCCGAAGCTACCAAACAAGCTATCAACATATTGCTTATCTGCTTCGACAGGGAATAGTCGCTTACATGCTAGTCGTAACAAAAATATATCATCGATTGGACTCATTCTCAATATTATAAGTGCAAAATGCCATCCTCTCGTGTCTGCGACGACGAAATACTATCGTCCAGCGTAACGCACGTCAAGTCAACGATCTCATCCTCATCCTTATCGTCGGGATCCGACCCACCAGTGGTGTGGCTCTGTTGTGACCCGCTGGAAAGCTGCGAGTTCCGGCTAAAGCTTCCGCGGCGCACAGGTGCGACCGTCCGCTGATTCGCCGGCTTCACCGTGACGATTAGATTGCTGCTGTTTGCCACCATCATATCCGTGACTTGATCCAGCGTTTTACCAAACACCTCAATACCATTTACTTCAATAACTTCATCGTTTACTGCTAGCAGACCAGTGGATTCAGCCAGACCACCAGGGACCAATCGCGAGATAAATATCCCGGGAATTTTTTCGAGTCCCGTAGGAGTGACGCGCACACTTGTGCCGTCGCGGATGTAGAAACCCAGGGGTTTATCCGAGCCGTGTTTAAGGAGTTTTACGCGCCGGCAGGTGTCCGGCACGATGTCCACATCAATAATAGCAGACACCTGTCGAAAATCATGTGGATTCGAGATCGCCAGCGTCTTATTTCGACTCGGCGTCGCCCACAGCGATAGGCTCGAGATGAGATTTTTTGGTTTCATCGTGCCGTAACCATTTAATTCCTCGGAACTATCTCCTGAAACAATCAATAGAGTATTAACATAACGCCACAACCACCCAACCTTAACACGCCTTCACATTGTTCAAATTTGACTCCTAATTAAATATTTGCAATTATTTACATGTACACAGTACACTACAACCTTCTATTCAAGGTTGGACTGTATTTGCATGTTGATGTGTTAGTGTGATGTACTGTGATGCAACTGATTGGCATGCAGTGTGTAGAATGCCAATTAAAAACGAGTTTATTAATGAAAACAGAAGCATTCGTTGTTTACCTTTGCGTTGTACAATAACTCGCAACAACGGCTTGGCGTTGTTCAACGCACGCCGGAGATTCTCGTCATTATTGATGGGCAGCAGGTCCTGGTCGCTAGGGTCGATGTAGGACACCAGGAAGGTAGTGTCCGTGAGACGGTGCAGGCGCTCCAATAACGAGCGGAACTCTTCAAACTTTGCTTGCACATCACGCTCGACGGAAAAGCGACGAAACTCGGCATCAAACTAAAAATATATTTATTTACATTAATGAGTCGGGAAATGTACCTATTGATAGTTATGTTAATATTTATTTTAAGTGCTAAATAAAATGACCATAAATGGTAAGAATTGTGGTGTGTGATTGTTGCATTGAGTTTAAAATGATTCATGCTCTCTTTAGCAAACAGGTGTCGGCTCGGCATGGAATAGAAAGTCGGCGAAGCACGGTTTGCGCTTGAAATCTCCAAACCGCACACGCAAAACGCGAAAATTCGCTGCGGAAAAAAGCAGCTTGTTTTCCGCAAGCGATGCGTTTTTTTTGTTTTAGTTGTTTGGCAGGTGGCTCACCTTGCTTTTCACCTCCACCAGCCCGCTGTGCTCGTGCACCGCGCCACTGCTGTTGCTGTTCTTCATCATGACGATTTTGTTTTTCGACATTTTGTCGTCGCTCGGAGGCGGTCGGTGGGCACACACGCCTAGCACTACGCAACGCGCTGATCGCTTCCAACGTTGGGGATATGGTGGCAACGCGCATTTAACGCAGCGGATGATTACGCACGGGCATGGACGCGGCGGCGACGCGCTCGGCTAGGAGTCATTCTTATTCTTCCAGGTAATCATGAGAGGATGGCGAGCACTCTCGCCGACGGACCGGACGAATCGCGACTGACCGACGTTGCCACTCGGCGGGCGGAAATCAAGTGTCGTGCGCGCACAAAATCTCATGGATTGTGTACGTACACGTCGGTGCTGCTAATTGCAGTGAAAACAAAATGGCCGAGATATTCTCATAACACAATTCAACAAAATTATCACCTGCACAAGCAAAAGTGCAGTTTATGATTTAAACTGAGTAATAAATATAATATTCTTGTAGTTTTTATGATTATTGCATTTACTTTCTTACAAATTGTTTAAAATTTAGAAAACAATTTTACAATTGCCTTTATTCCAGTTATTTTCCATGAGTATATGATCTCGACCTGCAACAAAAACATAACCTTGCAGTCAAATGAAAATAAATCACTGTATAATCAAATTTTGTAAGAAAAGCGCTATAATATTTTACTATTTTACTACTTTTGCAGTGTAATGGGACGCATTGAAAAAGCTAATCCTGCAACACTCAATCCATGTCACAAAGAATCTGATTTAACATACAAATGTCTTGATGATAATAATTATGATAGAGATAAGTGTCTCAAAGCAATGGAAAACTATCAACTGTGTAAATCTTTTTGGGTAAGTACAACAATAAACAAGAGATTTACTAGATTTATTGAAGATTTATTGTTGTTAGGGGTTTGTTCGAACTCAAAGGAGGAGAGAAGGCAAATACCCTTTACTTCCACCTGAGGAGGAACGCGATGAGATTAAAAAATACTATATTGATGCATTTTTGAGTGCCAAACGATGATTTTGCATTTATTTATTCTTAGTTAAATTTAGAGTGATTTGTTAAATAAAGTTAGTTTGAAAAGTGTTATGATCTTGGACTGTCATCTAGTGGCGACCTCAACAACTATCAATGAATTAAGATCTGCAAGTACTTAGTGTACGCGAGTCGTTTTTCCGCTGTAGAGTATACACTGCTAGATAAATATTTCTCGTTATATTTCTTCTTAATTTATATTTATTCTAAATTTTAACTCTATTTTTATATTTTACGATTGAAACATTTAACATTCTGGTGCTGCTCTCTTGTGGTAAAGATCGAAATGACAGTTAAGAAACATGTGAAATGAAGGAAAAACAAAATGGTGGCACATGAATGAAGTGCGTCATCGAATCGTTCGTTGCGTGCCGGATTCGCGATAACAGTAGCAGGTGATAACACGAGAAAAACAAAACGGCGGCATGGAGAACGAACTCCAATGAACCGCGCGATAAGCGCCAGCACGGAGGAGGAGCGCACGCATCATACGACGCGTGAGCAGCGTCGTCAGTCGTAGCGCCGCACTCCACGCGATTCATTTCCTGCCGGTCGTGCTCCCGGAACAAGCGTTCAATCTGATTAGTTTACAGTAGTTTGCATCAACCTTACCGACGGACGTAATCACGCGATCGTCGTGCGTTCGCCGAGTAACGATAGTAACGCTCAAACTGTTTACTTCAGGCGTGATTCGTGTCGTCGAGTATCGACGTGGAGCTGGTGTGGTGCCGTATTTAGGTGCTGCAGGAAGCAGCCAACAGTTCGCGTTTTAATTAGGATACACGTACAGTGGAGACACCTCCACCGACGGCAGGATGAGGTCCTATTTAACCAAAGACCATTTGGTCGGATTTGAAAATTACAAGGTGAGTTTTTATATGCTTTGCTTGACGTACACCTGCGTCATGCCGGCTTATTCGCCGGCAATTATAATTACGAGGATAAGCGGGAAATTTATTGAATCATTTATCTGTTTACAGTATAGCTGTAAAGATACTAGTCCACTTAGCGTATATGTGATGCACCCATTTTGGAACAAAGTCATATTGGTAAGTAAAACACTGTTGGTTTTTAAATATGCTCCTTCCTGCTCACTCCTAACCTAATTTAGCCGTTTTGATGCAACATAAAGAAGCTTCACGACTGTTTTAATTATTGATTGGATAAAAATACGCAATATGCTACATTAATTATTCTTGCTGAAACAGAATGCCTATAAATCAGGTTGAAAACAGCCTTTGCATGTTTGCAATGCGGTATATAAGTAAATTTAGTCAATATTTAGTCTTCAGTTTGATTAAATGAAGAGGAAAGTTTGAATTGTGTGTATTTTTGAACCAATTTATTTCTACAATCTGAAAATTTTATATTTTTCTTTGAAAATGCCGCGATTTTGTTGTTTTGAAGGTTTTTGATTGCGTGTGCTGTAAATACTAAGGAAAAGTACCAATATCACTTTAGATTATCAATTTTGGATTAGTAGATAACCCATGATTGGTACTATTACGTGTCTATCACATGTGAATAATCTCAAACTTGTAGTTTTGTAAAGTGCCTCTCAAATTACTCAACCACTACTTATATTAATCATACTTGATGTAAAAAAATGCACAAAAAGTTAAATAATTTATGTCTCAGTACAATTATAATGTTGTTTATATCTTGTTGTGCCTTAAATGTCTGTAACTTATAAATTTTCCAGAGGTCGAGGCTTTGAAAACATGAATATAGTAATAAACTACTGAAAATATCGTTTATTTTAAGATGTGTGTCACTTGTAGTACAGATTCATCTAAAAGAATCTTTTATTTTTGTTTTATTGTAGTTTTAATTACAATTATTCAACAAACACTCTCTATTAAGTCACTGAATTGTTGTCGTATCGAATAATTATTTATTTAAGCATTGGTATAATTAATATATTAATATTACTACATTGTGCTAGATATGCGGCAGCTTTTTAAACTATACTTGAAGACGTGGAACACAGCATAACATGAATAGTGTTGGCGACAACAACAAATCGCTCGTGTGGTTGATCAGTATGTGTGTAAACTTTTAACCTTAGTGACTGGGTCGCGATGATAAGAATAGTTTCGTTCCGACCTGATTTTAAATTCCCATTCCTTCGTATTCCGCATTGCATATTTATTTATGAACTTATCGATTTTTTTTCAACGTTATAATCATCATTCAATGTATTTCAACAGATCTGTCCGAAATGGATCGCCCCCAATCTACTAACGTTCACCGGATTCCTATTTACCCTGGTGATGTTGGCTCTATTGAGTCTCTACGACTATGAATTCTATGCGAATGCTCCGAACCATCCAGAAGTGTTGCCGATTCCGAGCTGGGTGTTTCTAGCGAGCTCGATATTTCTATTCCTCGCTTATACACTAGGTAAATATTAATTATAATGTAAAAACAATATTGTGATTAATTAACGCGTCTAGACCTGTCTACAAACTAGTTTGTTTGCGTGTTACTTAACTGGTGAGTTTGATTTTGTTGAAATAAAATGAAAAAGTAACGTGATTCATAAACTTTTTCAGTTTATGATTTCGTTGAATCATTTATAATTATTACAGTAACTTTTTATTTGGAGAAGAAGATAACAAAATGTATAATAATAAAAATTTAAACAGCAGTTATTCACGATTACAACGCGATTACATTTATCAAATATTTAGTAATCTAATTATATTTTTGGGCGACGGTTAAACATATAAATATTTGTATTAAATTACAAATTGACCCTGTAAAGGTCGATTTTTACTGATTTCCTAAAACACAAATTACAATTTATTAAATGTTTAAATGTTTTATTGTAGATGGTATCGATGGAAAGCAAGCCCGTCGCACAGGAACCAGCGGCCCGCTCGGAGAACTCTTCGATCACGGTCTGGATTCACTCACAGCGGCGATAATCCCGCTCGCATGGTTTTCCATCTTTGGCCGCAGCGAAGAACACAGCATCAATGCGCTGCGCATGTTCTTCGTCGTGTGGAACGTCCTCATCCACTTCTATCTCACGCACTGGGAGAAATACAACACTGGTTTGCTATTCCTACCGTGGGGTTATGACTTCTCAATGTGGTGTACGATCATCACGTTTTTCGCCGCCGGCGTACGCGGAAACGATCTCTTCAACTTCAAGCTCGCCGGGTTGAGCGCCGGCGTCTGCTTTGAGATACTCTTATACGTTTCATCCGGTTTGGCGAATCTGCCTATGATCGGATGGAATATGTATCAGTCGTACAAGAATCAAACGGGGTACAATCGGACGTTTGCGGAGGCGGTGCGACCGCTGGTTTCGATCACGGTGTTCTTTGTGATGACCACATTATGGGTGTTATTGGCACCGTATGTCTTGGAGAAGGATCCGCGTGTGGTGTTTATTATCATTGGGACTGTCTTCTCGAATATTTGCGTAAGTAATTTATAAATTTTTAATTTTTTTCATTAATAGTTGATATTATTGCAGTGTCGATTAATCGTGGCGCAAATGAGCAACACTCGCGCTGATTTATACAACTGGCTGTTGACTCCCAGTGGGGTATCGATTGCTGTGTGCCTCTTGGTGGATAGTGAAGTTGTGCAGCTCACGACAGCCTATGTGTGGTGTGCCATTGCGTTGATAACACATATTCATTACGGAACGTTTGTGGTAAGCAAATATAATAATAGAATATTATTTATTTATAGAATAGATTGAATGCGGGGTAAAAGTTCATGTGGAAACAATCGGAGATATCAGGAAGTAATTTTTATGGTTAATTTTCGTACTTTTTATTGTCATATTGTGGGTATCCACTGTTTATTTCACTTCCGTGTATGAAATTATCGAATCTGCGCATGAATATTCAATAAGTATTGCAAGTTGTGATTAGAATCATCTGGAATAATCAAGATTTTATTTAAAATGTTTATAAAATTTACACATGTGTTTTATTTTTGTAGGTTCAAGAAATGTGCAGACATTTCCGGATCATGTGCTTCAAAATTCCGACGCAAGAACCGCCACACGCCGATTGACTTGCTGCCGACAACGCCTGAAATTAAGCATTCATCTACCCGGGCGCAAAATCACCACTTACCACCATCAACAACACAAATCTTCAATTTTGTTATATTTTGCGTTCAACGTTTAATTTCGTGCGTTGTCCCTCGGACGCCACTCTATGTTTTTGTGCTCGTCCATTTGTGATTGTTTATTATTTGTTTAATTTTTACTTTCTCTCCGACGCGAGAGAAGCAAATCTCAGGCGTGCAGCAAATTTTACGTGAAGCGTTGAATAAATTCAGACGGCGTCCGCAGCATAATGAAATCTAGCATGATATCTTATTAGTAGATTGTTGCGGTTGTGATTGAGCAAGCAGATCAAGTTGCACGCTGAGAATGATGTACGAAAGCGTCGTCTTTGTTTTTGCTCAATGAATACTCATTTTTATTATTTATTTCGATAATTTCAACTTCAAAGTTACTTGATAATGCCAGTCAGACAAACTAAATAAGTAAACATCAACAAGAACTAACAAATAGAACAAATGCAGTCGTTTATAAAGCAGTAGCTATACAAAGGTATGATTTTGATTGCAGTTAATTTTTATTTTTTACTTTCGAGGGGTTTTTATTTATGAATATCATTTTGGTGTAATATTTGATGTTTACGATGATGCGCCATGTGCCATTTTGTAAAACGTATTTATTGTAAGTACGGATGTGCGACTAGTCGCGTTGAAAATGACTGCTACGGATGGAACCCTACATGATTTGGTTGTATAATTTGCTAAGTATCTTGTAAGTTGCGGCAGGTTGATCACACGACACGAATAGTTGCACATGCTGTAGATAAGAGGCGTCGCTTCTTTCTGTTTCTTGTAATAATTAACATTCCATTTGTACACACTTCACCATGGGCTTCTTTTTGGCAGGGAGATGCGGTAGGAATGTAGGGTTTAGGCGTAGCGGACTTGTAGATAGGGTTTTTAATGTATTGTAATTTTTTGGACGTTCGCAGTTCGCAAGTTTAACAAATTGTGGTACGCTAGTGAAACCAAATAGATTGCAAGCAGAGTGGACGTGGTCGTAACCGACCAATAATTAATTAATTAATTTTTGGATTAATTAATAAGAATGATTGCACTTGATTTTTCGGTGTCGCATAATTAAAAATTGAAAACCAATGGTGATTTTCGAGCGATCGAAAAAATATATTTCATATGAGAATAGTTACAATAAAAACAATAAAATGGAATAATACTTATGTAACAAAGTATAGTATATACCTATATTCAATATGTATACGACGCCACGAGAACACTGAAGATTGTATAAACTCGCCGAAGATGAATCGGAGCTGCCAGTCGGTCATTTGCGCACTATGTACAATCGTAGCCTTGTCCGAGAATTACGATTAGGTAGATCACAAAACACATACAAATTCGAGGGGTTGCCCGTCTTGGAGAAATTGAATTAGATTTAGATAAATTACCTACGGCCTAAGATCACTTTTTGTCGTCCAGCTTGGCCTTGTCGAGGCTGGAGGTGACGAGCATCGGCTGGCCCTGCCCGCCCTGATTCGGATACACCTTGTCGAGGTGCTTGAGCGACTCGCTGAGGAAGTTCTGGATGGCGGTGAGCGCGGCGACGATCGCCGGCGAGCCGAAGCCGTGCGATATCAGCGAGAAGTGCGTGAGGTGGCGCTGGATGGACGGATCGAGGAGGATCTGCGGCCGCGTGTTGCACAGCGGCGAGCGGTCCTGGTTGAGCAGGTCCATCAGCTCCTTGGTCACCTGTTTGGTGGCCTGCAGCAGCTCCTTGCGACGCACGGACTCGCCGTGCTGCCGGATGAGGTACTCGGCCACCTGGCGTGCGGGGAACTCCGTTTCGCAGACGTAGCCGAAATCGCGCGCCAGATGAATGGCTTCGCCCTCAACGAGCGAGGTGAGCAGTGTGACGTTGGCGGCTTTCCGCCGCCCGGCGGGTAGATTCAGGCCGATCTTTTCCAGTTTTTCGCGGAGAAGACGCCCGCCGTTTTTGGATTTGGCACGGCGGAGCACGCCGCCCAGGAGGGAGGCGTTGAGGCACTCCGGCGGCGACAGGCGGCGTTGCACCTCACCGACGGTGACTTTGTACTTTGACGTGGAGGAGAGCAGCGAGAGGCGGCCCGGCACCGAGCAGAACACATCCGACGGCGAGACCATTGAACCACCACCGTGATCTTTTCCTTTTATACCTGTAAAGAGAAAAAGGATTATTAGAAAGTGAGTTTTTTAATCAAATATGGCGACTATCAATACAATTTATGTTTTAGACATAAACATTCGCAATTTTTAAAGTTTTCAAGACAAAAACTACAATTTGCGGGAAGTTGTAAGTAACTCTTGCCTCAAAAAACATACTTGTGATGTTATGAATTAAAAATGGATACAGAAAAACAAGAGCTTCCTTAATTTAAAGAACTTCAGATAGAAGTTCAAAATTAAAAAAAAATAATATTTTCTTCATTGGTATTGTTCATTAAAAATAACTCCCTAAATTCTCTGTTCACAAATACTCTAACATCCTAGTTATTACACTGTTAATTCTAAAAAAACTTACTTTTCAGTAGAGGTAAATCCGAAATGAATCCCGTGTTATCATCGATACCACCCTGAGCTTCCTCAACAGCCTGCCCCAACGCTTGATGCAGCGACAGCGGATCATCATGCGAAGACACTCGCTGTGGGATGCCATAATCTGCACGTCCACCAGGCCCGCTGGCGTACGGGAAGCTGGCCCCGTGACTCAGTTGACTCTGAAATTTACCGAAAATTCTATTGTAAACCTTGCCTATATTCATATTTTGTTGATTGCAGCACAGGGGACAGAAATAGTTTCGCTTCACAAGATGCAAACAAGTGCAACAATCTTGAAGATCCTGAGGATGCCGGGTATCTTCGGCAGGATAATATGAGACGAGATTATTTTAGATTGAGGGGATGCAACAACGACATAGACATAGTTATGACCCGGGCATGGGGTGGAATGTTCCGGTTTTGATCCCGCCCCAACTCTTAGCCATCCATCTTAGTGCATAGTTGCGAGCGGAATGTCAGACATTCACCGCATCACGAAAACCACCCCATACCAACAACTACCCTATTAGCTATTCCACCCCTATAGGAATTTAAAAACGCGAAAGAATCTCATTCAATATTTATATTATCCACAAATATTTCTACTGGTCTAGTGGATGAAACTTACCACATGGGTGTGATTTGGATCCGTTTCCCGTCGCAGGCCGAGTTGATTGTAATGATGCAGGCCAGATAGACCACCATAGGGATCAGTGAGGTACTCAAGGTGCTGCTGGGGCGGTGGGCTAGGCGGGTGGTGGAACGGCGGCGGGAAGTACGGCGGTTGAAAGTCTGGCTGCGGCAGCTGGTGCTGCATCGCGCCGCCGTGGTGCACCGCCGACGCGCCGCGATGATGGTGGCCGCCGCTGCCCCCGGCGCCGTAGCCCGGCGAGCTGCCGCTCAACGCCAGCGAACCGTGTCCGCTGGCCGTTAATCTCTCCTGCAATCACACCGAAACAAATCACAAATTAATAATAATAATCACTTTATTTATAAACACATACATTGCAATTCATTCTCATTACTTGGGATAAGAAATTATTAATTTATGCGTTGTCAAAGTTTGGCTTTTGTCATTTCTGTCAATATTAGTCATTTCTAATTCCTCTTTCGTTAGAATTTTAATAGTTTATTACAATACAGTACTTGTTTGAAAACCCAAATTCTTTTTACTATATTTGGGTAAAACACACGGTGAATATAAGTATTTAGTTATAAATGCAAGTACCGTTTGTGTATTTTACTTTGTTTGGCGCTTGCGAATAATTTAACGGCTATAATTAACAACATTAATTTGGCGCGCGAATAAATCTAAAATGGCGGCGCATTTATAACCTCTTAAAACATGAAATTTAACACACAATTAAATTCTTTTTTCAAGTTAAATACTCACAAAAATCGTCCTTAACTGTTTTACAGTATGTTAAAAAACTTTTCTAACTTTACAAAACACACACAAATTTATTTTATAATATAATTTATGTTTTTATAATCCAATATTTGCACATGGTTGCACTAGTTTAGTAATCTTGGATGATTGTGTCGCGTGTTTTGAATATTTTATTAGAGCGCGAATGACGAGTGACGAACAACGCGTCTATCGCGGCCTGTCGCCCGGAACATTCTGTGTGATTCGGTTCTTGCGCTGCTCCGGAGGCGAAGAGCGGCGCTCCGGCGTCTCGTCGATCGGGGGCCACTCGCAGCGCATCGCCCGAGGGCCTTCCGAGCACGTGTCCCTCGACATAATAATTTTACCATCCATCATCACATCAAATATATAACAAAAATCGGCAAACAAAGAAAACAAAAATCCAATAAGGATAAAGTTTAATTTCAAGCGTTATTATTTATTTTAGTAAAGTTTATTCTCGTAATAGTTGTAATGGCGACAATATGTAACATAATTCGACTTTAATGTAATAAAATAGCAGCTTAATTTAATGTAAATCGCGTTCGTGCCGTGATGCTTGTGTTCTTCACGTGCGTGCATTCGTTGCGCCCAATTTGCTGCGCGTGTGCCGTGCCGCTGCGTGTTTTTTCGAATTTTAATGAAAAGCGTGAAGCAACAAGTAATGCTTGTGTAATGTGTCATTTCCTGTGCTCATAAAAACCCTTCCACAAAAGAAAAACCGAACATAATACCAACAAGAAACGAGGAGTTACATATTCATTTGTTTCACGACGAAATTTCCAACCAATCAGAGACGACGCTCTTGTTGTTTGTGCTGCTTGATGAAACAATGAGAAACAAAATGGCGCACGCGACACGAACAGTCGACACGCGTCCGGATTTCGTCAAATTTAATATATGAAATACAATCAGGGAAAAAATTGTTAGCGTAATTAGATCTTCAAGATCGTCAAAAGTTGATTAAATTTTTTTTGTAGATAATTACAGCGTCGTCCATTAAAGTCGCGTATCATCGAGTTGCGCAAATAAATCAAATTATCTTCTCATTCTCAACGCTATCTGTATCAATGTTGTTGTTGCAATTAGAAAATTACGAATTACGAATTAAAATTACAATTACAATTACACGCTAGAAAAACTAATCAATTCGCTAATTATCTTCGATAATAGTCAAGATAGTTGAAGATATTTGTGGACGGCTGGACTGTTTTTCGATTGTTGTAACATTTTTTTATCGTCTAATCACTACTGTAATTACGATCACAATTATCTACGCATTGTAGAAGATACCGAGTGTTGCAAAATATCTTATTTAATATTTTATTTAATGCTTTTGGTTTATTTTGTTTTAAAATTGATGAAATAATTTAAAAAATGTTCCAAAAATGAAAATGAGTAAAATTAGACGATAGGGGAAAGATTTGGTTAACTAAACTGCCCACATGCGTTACATACCACTAATTTTTAGCAAAACATGTAAATTGGGTTGCGGCATAACCATTCACTTCTTTCAAACTTCTTTTTTCACCTATTTTTAAACTTGATCTACGTGCGAGGATAAAAACAACAATTTCTTTGTCTTGACAACAAAGTAATTACTTTATTCTCAATCAGACTCTACCGGGAAGCTTTGTTCACCCCTTATAACTATTAATATGTTTCAAATTCATCAAATTCTCGTAGCAGTGTGTTTTTCAACATTTTTCATGTTTTCTTTTTAACAAAATTTTAACAAATCTAACTTAGTTCAGTCGTTTTTCAATTCTGGGTACATTGTAAAAACAAACACTGCAGTTTTATATTTATTTCTCTATAAATTACATTTTTTTATCTTTTTAAAGATTAATTTGGTAAAATGAGTTGCCTATACTAAACTATCATTCCTTAATTATTCTGCGCCCAGAATAAATATAAATTTAAATTTTTTCCAAATGTTTTCTGTGAATATTTGAAAGTTGAAGAAACGAATGAGGAATGATATCAATGAGCGATGTACGTGCAGGCTATTACAAGCAATTATCTCTGGCGTGCGCTGGGCACTCTTGCTCTACGCGAGAGTAAAAGAATCAAAACGAGAGCAATGAGCAAGACCAAAAATGTTCCTGAAGCTGCTGATGCTAATGATAAAGTATCATGGCGGCAGGCGGCAGGTAAATGATTGATGATGCTTTTTTTAAACGTTTTGCTCGTGTTTTCTATTTCTTACCCTTTTTTACCGTAAAAGTAAAATACGTAACTTGAACTTCCAGCGTTATTACGTTATTAGATACATTAACATTTGGAGGAAACAATATTTCAAATGAGTGTAAGAAGTGCACGTGCGGAAATGACGCAAGACGCTAACTAATCTGGTAATTATTATTTAAGTATTCTAATTATTAGGAATAATAGATATATGATAAGCAGTATTTTTTTTATTTTAGAATTGATGAATCTGTATTTTTAGGTTACTTTAGTTTAATACACTTTAGCGCCATCTAGAATTCAATTATTTCACTATAACTTTGATTAAATCTCTATATCAACTTTCATCCCTTATTTAATACCTTTTAAATCAAAAATTTTGACATTTTATTAGTTATTCTGCTATTCGGGGCGGTAATGAATCAAACAAATCATAGATCATCAAAATTGGTCCAGCTGATCTTGACTTATAAATGTTGTAACTAACACAACTCTGTTTTAATTACTTATATAGATTATTTCAATCAGTATCAAAGATATAAAGACATTTTCATGTAAAATAACTTCAAAAATAGGAGAAACTTTCATATTCTAACAAAAAACGCCATTTAAATTCCAAAAATGCATAAGAAGTTGCCTACGTTGAACCAAATTAACCTCACACTTCACCATCACCATAAACAATCCGCAATCAATTAGAAATGTACCAACGTAAGTTTTTGCGCGCGTTCGCTGACTGTTGGCGCTGTTGGCGGAAAGGCGCGCATTAATATAATATAGATGTTTATGGGCAGATGCGGCGGCGATATGGAAATGAGCGCGCGCCGCGCGCGTGTAAAAAGTGCGCGCACCGAACACGCCGTCGTCGCGTTCCCCTCTCTTTCGCGGGGCCCCCCATTTCCGCCGCCGCCGCCCCGCGCGCCACCCATGCATGCCTCGAGCGCAGGAATGCCGTCAGGCTGGTGTGCACGCCCAGGTCCTGCCGACGGCCGATTGAGATTCATTCGAGAGCTCATCATCGACGGGCAGACACAATCACATTCATATTGGTACTCACAATCACCATCACCATCGCCATCATACTCGTATGTAATCACGAATGGATTTGAAAAAAAAAATGTTACACTGGTGAGAAAACACGAGAAAAACTTTGAGATTATAATTTAATTGCGAATAGAATTTAACGTTTGAGTTTTTTGAGTTTTATTTCTGTTTTTATCATGAAAAATATGAAATTTTGAAGGTGAAAGTTAGGTTAAGTAAATATCATACTACCACAACTGTCACTTCATCTGCGCATGCGCCAAATGTCACATTGTGACATATAATAACATTTTCACTTGATGTTTTGACAGTGACACATAATATAACCTAAAAAATTAATCAAATCATATGAAACTGTAAAACTGAAAGTTAGGTTAGATAAATATCAAACTACCACCACTATTACTACTTCTGCGCATGCGCAAAAGTCACAATTTGACAAATTACAACACTTTTACATGATTTTTGACAGTGACACATAACATAACCTATAAACCTAACCAAACTTGAAAATTAACCCACGTGAATGTGTAGATAATATTTGAAATGCTTCAATGTTGTTTCTCTTAAGTCGACTGAGCCCGAAAATTACCGTTTTAATGTGTTTTCGTTAATGTTGCCAGATTGGCCCGCCGAAGATGCTAATCAGTGCGATCATTACGAAAGCAATGACATGCACATAAAGGCATCGTTTACCGGGCGGCTGATAGGCCCGGGCCGGCCGAAATTGTCGATTCATTAATAAAGATAATTTTGACAATTTCCTGTTTCGACAATCCGACATACCAACTGCAAACACTCATTAATATTTCATGTGTCGCTCGCGTTACTACTTAAAACCACTTATACATACTTACTTAACCTCACATTCTAGTGCAAGTAAGTAAATAAGCAAGTACAGAGTTTACATAATAGAAAATACTTTCAATTGAAACATGCAGAGAATAAACACGCGCCAAATAAAATTAAATTTTTGTTGGTGTGTAAAATGTGTTTTTAGACACGCTGAGCAATAAATTTTATGCACTAATGCGTAAAAGTCAATATTAAACATTTTTAGTGCACACGTGTCTAAAATTTAATTTTACACACCGAAGACAAATAACTTCATAACTCATCCTTGCTACTTAGTATAATTTTGATTCCTGCTGCAGGATGCATAGTCTTTTACTGCCTTGGAGGGCATCTCGTGCCCGTGCCGAAACTCGTGCGGCCGCTGGTCGCCACCGCAGCTACCAGTCTTCGAATCAATCATCCGTGACGGCGAGGTGTAAGTACGCTTATTATTGCCGCGATTACGACACACTAATAGCGCAGGGGTAGCGCAGGAAGAAGATAACCCACTATACACACACGCACACACATGCTCACTACGGGGCCGCGCTCGAGTTGGTAATGGTGAAAATTTACTGTTGCATCGGATAACTAACTAATTCTTCGCATGGTACATAGTAACATTGACCAACTAGTAGTTTTAGCTTAACGATGCGGTGTCAAAGAGTGTCCAGAGTCGTAAAGGGGACACGCCTTGGAAACAACACAAACGGCAGATAACATAACGTAAGAATACATAAGACAATATACAGAGTGTTTAAGTAAAACAAAATAATTTTGATAGTTTAAATTGTGTTTTGTTTAATGGATAATATTTTAATGATTTAAACACTTGGTATAATATTAATACTCAGGGTGTTATTTATTGTATTGAACATTTGTTGTTTGACGCTTGTTCAAACACGATTTTTAAATAGCACTAAACTGGAATTTATTGCCCTCCGGGAGGGTATTCCAGTTACCTCGGGGCTGTTTACGTTGTTTTACACTATAAACGTCGTTGCGCGCCGAGCAGCATCAGTTGGGTTAGTCGCTTAGTCGCCCGTCGGAATAAATTGATTTTCACGTTGTTACATACGTATAATTCAAATGTAATAGGATATTGCCTTAACAACAACTATTTTCTTTAAATTTTACGTTATTATTATTACTTTGATAGAAATATGATAGAAATTCCCATGGAAATTAATGTTTGCAATTAAAATTTATCAAAATGACAAATATTTGGCGCTAATTTCTATTTTAAATCTATATTAATAAATATAATTGATTACTTAAACAGATAGATACATTTTGCAATTAATATTTTACATTATTTAAGGAAAAAACAAAAATAGATATTTTTATTGACTTTTGTAGCAATAATAAAACACTTGAGTTGTGTAACGACTGTTTGTTAATTAAATCCGCGCAAATAATATGCGATTAATTAATATTCACACAGAACAATGTTTTTAATTAATTTCAGACTTGCTTGGTGCAAAAAAGACAATAATAAAAGACAATAAAAGAACAACAATTACCAATAATCCAATTATAGCACATAAACTTATGATTCAATAAAACTTACTGCAGGATAACTATCCTAATGGAAAACAACACCAATAAATTTTTTTAAGGAAAAGAATTTATTCCTATACAAAATGCTGAAAAAACCGTTATTATAAATTGATTAGTTTTTGCGTAATTAATTAAAAACCATGAAAATTAAAAATACCTAACCTCTTCCTATTTCCTAACCTTAAATTATATACATTCTAACCTCAAAAATAAATTTAACTCATCTTATCTTCATTATTTGTCCAAATTACCAGTTTTTTAATAATTAATATTTAATATAGTAACTTACATCATCATCTAAATCATCCCCTGCATTCGCATTAGCACTGCCATTCTCAACCCCATGCTCAACACCCTCCTGCTCCTGCTCCATCTCCAGCTGCTGCTGCTGCTGCTGTTGCATGAGCACAAACGCAACATCGTTGTTATTATTTGCCTTGCAATCGTCGGACGCGCGCTCCGCTTCATCATTGCTCACACTATTCAAATCCTCGCTGATCTCATTGATAATAATCACGTTATCATTTCCCGGCAAAAGTCTCCTTCGTTTAATCGTATTAATCCCTATCGTATTATTATTATTATTATTATTGTGATTCTGTGTGTGGGTGTGAATCCGGTGATTACTCCGCGGCGAGCTAAGCAAATCACTGCTCATCGAATCCGGCGAGTCGGGATTATCCATTATATTCGTAAATATGTTTAATACGTAGATTAATGTTAATAAATAAATGGCCACGCGTTTTATGAGCACATGATTTTAGGTTATGTTACGTTTTGTAGGTTATGTTCGAGTATTTTTTGTTGATTCGGTGGATTTATGGCAAGAATACTGTGTGTGACTAGTTGGATTTGCTTTGTTTGTTTGTTGTTGTTGTTGGCTCGAGGCGACCGCGCCGACTGACGGCCGACGGCGCTCTTGGCCGCGAGGCACCGAGATTGGGCATGGCCGCGACTTAACTTCGGCGGCTTAAGTCCGAGCAGAAGAGCGCGAGCGGCGCGGAGCGACAGAGACCAACAATGCGCACCTTGATTCACCTGTGCGCGCGCTCGGTAGTCGCGCAACTAGCGCCCCCACCGCAATTCGCGATATAATTATTGTGTTTGCAACTATTTAAGTTCCGCCTTTTGCTTCAGTCACATAACATCAAATTCCAACATTAAAACTTTACTAATCATTTTATTCTTTAACATAATTCAAGTTAAATTAATCATCGCAATATTAATTTAAATATTTTTTTATAAATATTAAAAAATGGCGATATGTATACTTAGATTGATAATTACTCAACAATTGTTGTGAATATTTATTGTGAATGTTTAAACAGAATGAGTAAATAACTAAAATAAGAGAACGCATGTGCGAGGAGCACACGAGGAATGGCGCGGAATGGTGGAATGAATGAACCGTTATTAATGCATTTTAATGGCCATTTTAATAAACAACGTGCGAGAGCGAGCCGGCGAGCAGAACAAGTCGGCGGCGCTCGTTTAACGAATCTCGCATGCGGCTCGAATCCATTCAGATTCACGTTCCTCGAATGTTTGAACAAATGTATTAAACAAATATTTGCGAATTCAGTAGGAAATCACAAATCCATAAAAGTTTAAGTGAATTGTTAAGTGGCATGTTGGTTGCATACCACTGGGCAATAATAGACAAGTGTTATTTTAGTTAAATTAGGCGTTAATTTGATTGGTTTTGAATGTTTTTGAGTGTGAATTAGATAGTTTACATAATTATCTTTAATGTTAGTAAATATGATTGTTTTAAAAAGGGCATAAAGTTAATTTTTTGATGAAATTTAAAAAATTCTGTTTTTAATTTGATTTTTTGTAGTTTTTTAATGAAAATTTTGATTTGTTTTAATTTTTTTAAATATTTTTGATTGTAAACTGCAAGATAATTAAATTATCTTTAATTTAATACCAGTATAATAGGTCTACTATACTTATAAAGCCTTTTATTTAACAAAATAAATCTTAATGTCATGCGGTTTTGAAAAAAACTTAATTTTTGCTTCTATATCTCAAATTTCCAAACAAATTTAAAAAATTAAACTTATATATTATAGTTTATTAAATTATCTTTAATATAATATAAATTTTAACCATTTTGAATCATTCAAAACCATAGTTTTTACTAAAAATACAAATTGTTTATAAGTAAATTAATTAAATTCAACCAGGAATTCATTATTTGCCATTTTTACGAGCGAAAAACATAAACACAATCTTAAACTTGACTACAATTCATTTAAGGCGCGCGCTAAAAAGATTTTATGACGTTTTCCCGAGTTTAACGATCGTTAACATCTCTCTCTCCTCTCTCGAAAGTCAAGTCCGCGTTGAACTCGTTGAATCAGAAGTCGGCGAGCAATTAATTTCAGGTGCATTTCGTCATTCGCTCATTCCTTATGATTCGATTCACTTACTCACATTTCAACCAACAAATAAAATAAACTACTCGGACCTAGTACCTAGCTACCACACGATAAATAAACCTTTGATTACGCTCGCAGTCAAAAGTAAAGTCTCAAGTAAAATCGGTAGTAAACTCAGCCGATCAGAATTCGGTGTAATTGCGTATCGCGGGATAATCAATCATTTGTAAATTACACGAATTATTTAAATACGAGCGGAGGGCTGCCGCTTTGATGTACGCAACGATTATTAAAGAATTATTAAAGCACGCGGCGAGCCGCTCAACAAATTAGGATGTTTTCAATCGTTGATGCCAGCGATTCGACGTTTTGTTTTCTTTATCAGGCGTAATTAAGTCTCGGATAAGATTTATAGTCGAGTATGAATCTAGAAAAATCAACAGGTTTACCATCGTACTGAACTAACAGTAATTAATGGTTGGTAATTAGAGATATCATGTATGTCAACAAATGGACTCTTTAATTGAGTTTTATTTGGAAACAGATTTTATTGAATTGGAAAATGTAGGTAAATTGTATGTTTTTTGATATAATTGAGGTTAGAATCACTTTTAAGATGCAAAAAAATGTGAAAAATCAAATATAATGAGTTAAATTATCAATTAATGTTAGAAACTAAGTTTTTTAAGTCTTCAACTGTCAATTGAAGTGTTTTTTGCAAAGCAGAAGACAAAATTCTAATTTTTGGCAATTATGATGTTAAAAATATATTAATTTTATTTAAAAATTATTAAATCAATGCAAAAAGACAGATAATTTAATAAATTAACAATTTCCAAGTTATACTAAGAATAATAAAATTTTTGTTATTAAATAATGACAAAAATGCCAAACCAAACACAAGAAAAATTTTAAAAAATCAAAAATATTGGTTTTTGTCATTTTTGGGCTAAAATACTATTCTAAAACTGTCAAAATTGGGTCAAAATAAAGAAAAGGTAAAATACTTTTAATTATTGTGATTATTATTAAATAAATAATAATAATTTATCGTTTAAAGGTTTATTTAAAGTTTTTTTTTCAATTCTATTTGAATTTCTATAAAATAAACATAATTAAAATACCATAAATTCTCCAAATATTTATTTTTAAAAACTTTGTTCATACGATTCATTCAGTTTTAATAATTCGCAGTATGACGTGTTCCGGCCGATTTCCAGCGAAGTCGCCAGCGCCTCGTAAAAAAAGCCAATTTTTGTCCGTTGATTGAACAGGTTGAAAAACGATTCGTATGTGGGTCACTCGTTGTTCGGTCGAAAACACACCAGCATCTTCGCCGAGAGACAACATACTACGCACGCATACGGGCACAGGTCCGAAGACCTGCGCGACGCGCGTCGAAGAAGATGTGAACGCGCGAAGAGCACTCTCTCGGCCGCGCGCCGTGGCCGCACCACAAACCGGCGATTTGGCCGGTTGTTGACCGCACACACGGGATGCCCACAGCATCACCACACGCGAGCCGCTGCTCAAAATGCTGAGGTACCAATAGGTATGAAGAATGAAGCGAGATAACGTTGATACATATTAAATAAGTGTGCGGGGGAATTTTCATAACGTCCTGTCACCGTGTGAGAAGGTATTTGATTTGCTTTTTGTGTTAAACTTTCAATTTTATTACAGAATTTAACAGCAATTTATGATATATTTTGTAATTTTTATTCAAGAAAGTGTTAAAGTCAATATTTAAAAAAAAATTAAGTTGCTCAGGTTAATTGTTCTTTCTATAATATAAAAATGAATCGCAAAATCTGTTGGTAAGCGCATAACTCAACAACGCTTAACCCAATTTGGCCAATTCTTTTTTAAATGTTCGTTAAAGTCGAAGGATGGTTCTTACGGCGAGAAAAATTTGAATAATTGCCGGGAAAATCCTAAAAACAGCCCTTTTCTATAGGATAAAAGTTGAATGTGTTGATTGAATCTCAATTCAATCATAGTTATAGTTAAATAGTTGAATCCAAGATGACGCGCTGAAATGCATTATTAGCAATTCTTTATATAATTAATTTCTTTAAAATAAAATTGCGAAACATTTTTATTAAACACTACCGGGACAAAATCGCGGGCAAAACTAGTATTTTAATAAAATCATTGAAAAACTGAAATTCTCTGCAAAACTTTTACAAAAATCATATTTTTCCATTAGTATTGAGTACTATCACTTCAATTATGCACCAATAAAGTACTTAAAGTATGACTTAAGTCACTCATATTGTCTTAAGCCATAGACACACCTTCTATATAGATGAGAATGTAAAATGTGAATCGTAAATTGAGAAAATAACAAAATTAGAAACCAAATCAAATCAAATCAATTTTTGTTCCGAATCGAAACGAAATTATTGAGATGCTTGAACGTACATACTCATAATCATAGTCTTGGCCTCTTCGACTCAACCGGAGACGTGTAGACGTCTTAAAAGTCACATTAGTTTTAACCAACTTAAGCCGCCTTTAACTTGAAACAATCCTAATATCCTAATATCCCAAATCACCTCGTCCAGCATGAAAAACGATTCGAAATTGTTTGAGAACCGAACGCGCGCGTTTAGCAGCATTGAACATAATTTCAACTAATAATGGTTTACAACAACATCGACGCAAGCAGAAGAAGAAAAAGAAAACATTTAAATCGAAGCATAACTGAATTACCTACTCGTAACTCGAAACATTATAACAACAACAACGTGCTGGCAGTGGACGGCATCGATTGGTCGATTTACATTTTACATTTTTCACGCGGCGGCAAAGCAAGCTGTCGAAATGAAAGCTCATAAGCTCATAATGTTATCCCCCGCGTCTTTTACACGCACAGGACGCGAGGCAGGTGATCACAGCGTCATGACTTTATATAAAATACAATCAATGCGAAATGCTGAGTGTTGCAATAATTAAATTTTTAAAGAAGATTCAAGTTTTGGTAAAATAAATAATAAAAACTTTATGTTTTGTTATAAAAATGTCAAATTATGGGTTAATAATGATTATTAACTTGTAGACTTTGAAGAAATATAATGTTTGATATTTAATTGTCAAATAACTTGTGTTGTAGTCTATTATCCGCTAGATGGCGACACATTTAAACGCAACATTTCAGTTTAATGAGTAATTTTGCCATTTTTGGCTAGAAAAACAATTAAAAATGCATATTTGCATATTAAAAGTGAATATTTTAAGAAATGGAATAAAATAATGATTGTGGTAATATAATAAAAACCAAGTTAGGTTATACATTCACGTAATTAACCTCAATTTATCACAACATATTATAATTATCAAGAAAACTTAAAAAAAAACTTATTTTTCTTTAATTTTTGAAAAAAAGTATATTTGCTAGTTAAAAATAGTAATAGTAGTATTTAGGTATGTCTGTAGATGGCGTCACTTTATTTAATACCTAACCAAACTTCTTTTTCTTCTAAATTTCACATTGATTTCCTTTTATTGCTTTTTTTTTCAAAAAGCAAACTACATTCTTTTCTCATTACGTTGATTATTCGGCCTATTCAACCTATTAAGCTTATTATTCTTATTATTCCTTCGCGTGTCTCCATGGCGCGTGTTCCTCACCATGTCCGAGATGTAAAACTTCACAGCGGCGTG